CTGTCTAAGTTATTCCCTCGCTGCTTGAGCAGCCTTCTTTATCTTCTAGTCTCTACTCCACCAATTCTGCCACATTTCAAAGCTGACCTCGAGGTTATTTGCCTCCAGAGGCCTCTTCAGGACCTCGGGCCACAGAGGCCTGTCTTCAGGGCTTGCAGGATACGCTGCCTTCAGTGCAAGCCAGCACGTCTGCTATCGGGGGGCTATGGTGTCCAATTCCTGAGTTCCTCGAGTTTTCCTGCGTTTGTTCCTTTATTTTCCAACTGGACCTTTAAGTTCCTTGAGGACAGAGGCCCGCTTAGTGTGTTTACATCCTGCTTTTGACCTGGACCAATGTAACAGTGGCCCTCAGAAAACATAACTTGATTTCTTTTCCTAACAGAAAAGGAAATGCTGTTGAAAATAGACTTCTATATTCGCATAAGGATGTTATCAATGATCATTTTTAAAATAAAAATTCTTCTTTTTAAAAAACAAGATGGTAGATAAATTCTGGCCAGAATGTGGAAAATAGGGAAAACTTGCACATTGTTAGAGGGATTGTAAATTGGTACAACCACTATGGAAAGCAGTCTGGAGACTCCTCAAAAAATTAAAAATAGAACTACTGTATGGTCCAGCGATTTTACTTCTGGACGTACATAGGAAGGAAATGAAAACACTATATCAAAGATACATCTGCACCTCCATGTTCATAGCAGCATTATTTACAATAGCCAAAACATGGAAACAACCTAAGTATTCAACAATGGGTGTGTAGATAAAGAAGTTGTGATATATATGGTCATCCCTTAGTATTTGCAGGGGATTAGTTCCAGGATACACGCACACACACACACCCAGATGCCCAAATCCAGAGATGCTCAAGTCCCCTATATAAAATAGCATAGCACGTGCACATACCCCATGCACATCCTCTCATATACTTTAAATCATCTCTAGATTATTATTATAGTGAATGCAATGTACATGCTGTGTAAATAGTTGTTATACTGTATTGTTTGGGAACAATGACAAGAAAAAAAGCCTGTGTATGTTCAGTACTGACACAACCATTGTAGGCCTATCTACATAGTACATATCAGCACCAATGTAACTTTAAAAAAAAATTTCTTCTGATCTGTGGTTGGTTGTATCCAAAGATGGGGAACTCGCAGATATGGAAGGCCAGCTGTATATACAATGGAATATTATTCCGCTATTAAAAAGTGCATCCCTGCTGATTGTGACATGTAGACATTCTGCTAAGTGAAATAAGTCACAGAGACGATGACAAATCCTGTATGATCTCACTCATATGTGTAATCTAAATGAGCAAACAAAAACCAAACTCATAGAAAAAGAGACATGGGTGGGAAGTGGAGGGATTGAATGAAGGTGCTCAGAAGGCACAAACTTCCAGTTACATGACAAATAAGTTTTGGGGATGTGATATACAACATGATGACTATAATTAACCCTGCTGTATGGTATATTTGAAAGTTGTTAAGAGAATAGAACCTAAGAGTTCTCATCAAATAAAAAAAATTTTTTTCTTCTTTCTCTTATTTTTTCTCTTTGTATGAGATGATGGAAGTTAACTAGAGGTTATCATTTCACAATATATGTAAGTAAAGTCATTATTCTCTACACCTTAAACTTATATAGTGCTGTATGTCAATTATATTTCAGTTAAACTGGGGGGAGGGATAAGTTGGAAAATTAAGCTTTAACCATTGCATAAGCACCTGTGGGCTTTTGTTTTAACTTCATTCGTAATTCCTTAAAAACATATTGAGATAATTATTCACAAGAAATTGCAAGAATCGTTCAGAGAAGTTCCTGGACCTTTCACCCGATTTTCCCCAGTGGACACATCTTCTGTAACCATAGCACAATGCCAAAACTGGGAACTTGGCAGTGATACAATGTCCTTGTACAGTTTTTGCCATTTTTATCACATGTGTAGATCTAACCACCACTACAATCAAGATGCAGACCTCTTTATGGCACATCCCCCACAACCATCCCTAACTCCTGAAAACCACTAGACTCTTCTCCATCTCTGTAATTTTTCTCATTTCAAATACAATTTCACTTTGATTTATTTATAATGTTTGGAGAGTATCTCTATGTACAGACACAGAGTAGGTGCTCTAGGTATAACATTGTTTGTACATAGCTTATCTAGTTCTACTTGTCTTGACATTACCAGTTTTAGTAAGGTATAGAAACCTTTCTTCCCTTGAAGTCTCTTTGCTCTCCCCTGTTTATAACTGTCTTAAATGCTTTCTCCATGTAAACTGAGAACATCAGACAATACACGGGGTTGCAGGACCGGGGACACGGAACTGGACCTCGTGGCCTTTGATCTTTTTAAGAAAGAGGAAATCGTGGGGACCACAGAGTCCCTCCTCCCAGGCAGCAGTCACTCCATTTCTTCTTTTCGTTCACGCAGTTGCTAGAAGCAGAAACGACCACAGTGCTTATCAACTTCCCTAATCTATGCCCCTGATCTTTTGCTTAAATCGACTGATACAAGAAAACTCAAGGGAGGAAGCAAAGCAGATCGTATTAACTTATTTTTACACTCCTGTTCTTCTTGTTGATGTTGCAAAATTCTTTTTAAAGCATTTATATTCTGTTTCAAAACTTCCTTTAGCTATTTAAGAGTAGGTCTGCTGCTGACAAACTCTCGTAGTTGTTCTGAGAATGTCTTAATTTCGTCTTCCTGCTTCTCACTGGATATAGGATGTTTGAGTTGACAATTGTTTCTTTGAGCACTTTAAAAATGTTGTGCCATTTCCTTCTGACCTCCATGGCCTCTGATGAGATATTTGATATCATTTAAGTAGTTTTTTCCATTATAGGGAAGATGTCATTTCTCTCTGGCTGCTCTCAAAATTTTTTCCTTTATTTTTAGGTTTCAGAAGTTTGACTCTGTTGTATCTTGGCATGGATTTCTTTGAGTTACCCTGTTTTGGATCTGATGAGATTCTTGAGTCTGTGCGTTTATGTCTTTGCCATGTTTGGAAAATTTTCAGCCTTGTTTATTTGAATACTGTTTAAGCTTCACCTTCTTTCTCCCCTCCTTTTAGCACTCCGGTGACACAAATGTTAGATTTTTTTTTTTTTATAATTTCACATATTCCTGAGACTGATAATTTTTTTCAGTCCATTCTCTCTCTGTTGTTTAGGTTGGGTGATTTATGTTATCCAAGTCCACCGATTCTTTCCTCTCTATCCTCTCTATCCAGCGTGAGCTTTTTATTTCAGGGGGATTTTATTTATTTATTTTTTTTCAGTTCTAAAATTACAATGTATTTCTTCATGTCTCCTATTTCTCTGCTGAGGTCCTTCAGCATTTGTTTCAAGTATGTTTGTAATTGCCCCTGAAACGTTTTTACACTGGCAGCTTTAAAATCCTTGTCCGATCATTTCAACGTCTGTGTCATCTCTACATTAGTATTTTTGTATTGTCTCTTCTCACGCACGTTGAGATTTTCCTGGTTCTTGCTATGAAGAGTGATTTTCAATCCTGGACACCGAGTACTATGTTAAGATGCTCTGGATTTTACTTGAGTCTTCTGTTTCAGCGGGCCTTTGCTGACACATCTCCTTAATGCTTAGTATATTGAGCAACTTTTCATATGTAGTCATTTGTATACCTTCTTTGAAGAAAAGTCTGTCTCTTGCCCATTTTTTAATTGGGCTGTTTGGTTTTGAGTTATATAAAGTTCTCTCTAAATTCTGGGTATTACCCTTGATCAGATATATGACCCCAAATGCCTTTTTATAACTGGTCTGTTTGAACCAGGATCCAGCAAAGCTGCACTGTATTGATACATCGCATTGTCTAGTCCGCAAGAAAGGCTTCTGCCTGCGGCTCTCCCATTGTGGACTGGGGGCGGAATCCAGGCCCGTTGTCATGTAGACTTGTAGTTTGGTATTTAGTTTTGCTGCTCCCTTTCAATTTTTCCTGCTTTTGCCTTTGATTTCAGCAGTGAATTTTCCCTACTGAAAATAAATGAGGGTTTCTCTATCAGTGATTCCTAGAGGATGAAACCAAAAACAAAGGGGAAGCTTTCTGGGTATCTGCGAACCCACCTGTGTGGAGGTGGACACTGGAGGAAGGGGGAAGGGGTATGAGGATCCGAGGGGGGCATGGCGAGCATATTCGTCACCTGCCTGGCCTGTGAGAACAGAAGCACTTCCCATGATGCACTGGTGTTGCTCCAAGGATGCTCCCACCCACCCACCCACTCAAGATCAAGAGCAGACCCAAAGGCTGTTCCCCTCATTCATGGGTGGCATCAGGCAGATCCTGGGGGCAGCTGTCCCCTAGGGGACACTGGAAAGGGCAGTCCTGCCCCAGGGCTGCTCTGAACACTGGTGGCTTTTCTACCAGTCCCTGAGGGCACAGAGGTAAGGCTGGGGAGCCTCCAGTATCAAGACTCAGAAGCCAGGATATGGAAATAGACCACTGAGAGAAAAATTACTGTTGCTGAGGTCTGACCACTCTAAAAGACCACTAGAGTTATCTCTGGGATTAGGATTAGGGGTGTTTTTTTCCTTTGTAGTTTCTAAATCTTCTTGAGTGAAGTGAAAATATGATATTCTATTTAGATAGACCAACATCCGTAGGATTACCATAGACATGCCAACGATGACCATTATCGATAGTAACTCAGTTTCCCCGGAGATCTGTGGCTGGAATGGGGGTTCTCCGACTCTCCTTGCAGCCTAGAAGAGCAGCTCCTGCCCATTAGCATGGCAGAATCCAGGGTAGACTAACTCGGCAGGGGCAAGCAGTCTCTCCAGCGTCTGGAGCAGAAGCTGCTATTCCTGGTTCTGCCTGCAGCCTGGGGCCTGTGAGAAGGGGTCCAGCCTTCAAGAAGCGCCTGTCAAACCCACAGGAACCTACCCAATGGTAGGTCAGTTTTTCTTAACCCAAGAGAGCCTTTATATGAGGTTACTGCTTGCAAACTCCTTCCAGACACAAATGTAACCGGCCATTCCCAAAATAAAAAATTCTTTATTATAAGTACTGGATACAGGAGAAATGATATAGGCATTTCTTGACTCTTTGAAATTCTTACAATGTATACAAAATTGGTGATACCTTCTTGAAATTATTTTAAAATATTCCCCAATATCAAAGCGGGGATAAGTGCCTGGTAGTTAAGTGTTTCATCAAGATCATACTGAGGGGTCTTCTGCCCCTCCCCAGACCCTGAGGAAAGGTACCTTGTGTTTAGGTATTAGGTATTTTCCATCTCCCTGCTGGAGATGGAACAGAGAAGACACAATTTTTTTTTTTAAATGAGATTTAGGGTTCTGGGATCCACTCTGGGACAGAGACCCGAGACCATGGTATTTTCTCCCCAAAGGAGAGCCTGAGGTTAACTAACACACAAATCTCCTGCAGAGGGAGAAACAGCTGCCTTTGACTTGCTGTGTGAATTCCAGCCACTCCCTTCCTTGCTCTGTGCTTTACTGAAGGCATAGTGCTGGCATATTGGGTTCTTTCCAGAGACTTGTTTTCAATGAAATGGGAAAAAAAGAAAAGGAATACAAGCGTCCGGTGTTTGTCCACAGTTAGACCCCCTCAGTGATGGGCTGTCTCACCCAGCCACACCTGGGAGCTGTACCCAGGGAAATGCGTGCACATGTGCGCGTGCCTGTGTGCGCACAAGCTTTGGGTCGGGAGGCTCTTATGGGACCGCTGTTCATAAACTGATCGCAGCAAGCAACTCTATAAGGCAATCAAGGTACAAAAGGTGGGTGGGAAAGCTCTCCATGGGTGGTCCAGGGAAGCAGGTTTCTTGCTTTCTCTGCCAAGGTGACCCAGCCTCAGAACCAACTCGATGTACCCCATCCTGCGCCAGGCAGAGCTGAGAGTGTGACCACAGCTCTCCGTGGGTTGAAGTGAGAAGCAGCCCAGCTGCTCAGGTGGGAAGAAGCTAGGGGTGCTGCAAGAGGCAGACAGAGGCGAACCGATGGGGGAATCAGGTTCAAGTTGAGCTTGCCCTGTGCTGGGTCAGCATCTACCCCGTGGGGCAGGAGGAAGTGGGGTGTGAGGCGGGCAACAAGTAGGCACCATGCGGAGGCAGCCTCCCTGGCCGTGCTGTGGCCGTGCAGTACCGGTGTATGGCCCTGGCAGCCAGCTCTCTCTCAGCCAAGATCTGCCTCCCCCAGGAGACCCAGAACAAAGCTTCACCATTTCCCGCAGTGACCTGAATATAGCTACGGCCTGTCCTCTCCGTCCTACTCAGTTCTCAGATGGAGAGACTGAGGTCTGAGACGTGTGGATGGGTCAGAGATGGCTCCTTTGGTCCCTCTCTTAGTCCCAGCAGGTGCGTCCACTTGCCGCCATTGATTCCATGCAGGACGTGAGATGTGAGGTCCAGAAATGTACAGTGGCTGCAGATGTGTCTGTGGAGTTGGCGTGTCAAGGAATCAAGAGGCAAGTGGAGCACAGGATCCTCCTAGAACCATAGGAGGAGGCAGGGGCAGAAGTACATGTATAGGCAGACAGACACACATACATCCAGCATCCCAAGGCAGTGTTCAGGGCAGGGACAGGGCTTTGGCGAGGCGAGTCCAGAACCAGGACTTGGTGCAGGGGTTGGTGTAGTCGCAGACAGTGATGAACCGCAGGATGCTGGGGAACTCTTTCTTCATTGCCTTGTACTTGACAGGGATCAGTCGCTTCTGATGGGCACCTGGCAAGCCAAGGGGTACAGAGCTGGCATCAGGCCCTCGTCCCCCAGTGGGGTGTGACCAGTCCCCAGCCCAGGGGTTAACAGCAGTCCCCCAACTAAGCATCCCTGGCACACATTCACTCACACAAAAGGCACTCATGCGCACACATGAAAGGCACACAGGTGTGCAGAGACCTGCAGGAGTCCCTTGGTGAGGAAAGGCTGGCATCTTGAAGCCCCACCCACCCACTCTTCTGTGGCAAGGGCAGGACCGAGCTAACCTGGAGACAGGCTGAGGGCAAACTTAGTCTGGAAGTCACATTCCTTGCTTTGCAGGTAATCGTCTGAGACAACTACCACCATCCGGCGGCACCTGGGGAAGAGCGGGCAGGCTGCAGGCACTGTGGCCACCCAGTTCAGCGCAGTCCCAAGGGACGGCCTTTGGAGAAGCCCACTGTGCCCAGGCTGGACAGGGCCCAGCTGGGAAAATCCCAGCATCTGGACCCCTCAGCAGGGCTTTGTGCACCCACCCACCGGCCCCCTGGCCACCTGACCTACCTCTTCTCAATGAGCTCACTGGCAATAGACCAGACGCAGGTGCCAGGCAGGACATCACGGTCGGACACACACAACTTCAGCCGATAGTTTGTCTGTTCCAGCTGCTGGATCATCTCCTGTACAAACTGGATGTCGCTGGAGCAGTAGCAGATAAAAGCATCAAATCGCTCAGGCATTTGCCCTGGGTACAGAGCACAAGGGCGGTGGTCAGAGTTCTGTCGGAAGGCTGGCGGTGGCCCTGGTCCTGGGCCCTACGTCAGCTCTGAGATGACACTACTCAGAGAAAGTACCCTTCCTGGGAGTGGAAAGATGAGTACCTCCCCCCATCCCCTGCCCTGGGCCAAGCCCTTGGTTGTCCATGAGACGGACACATGATTTCATGAGTGTTTCATATTATTATTCCCATTTCTTGGGTAAAGAAACGGGCTCAGAGAGATGGGGTGACTTGCATCAAGTGCCACAGTCCATGTGCTCTCAATATCCATGCTCTATACACCACAATGCCCTATCGCCCGCCTGTCCCATCTGGATCAGGGGTGCGGTATTAGGCCCTTACCTGTGGGGTCATCGAGTGTGGTGATGCCCGCCACCTCTCCCGTCCGTGGGATGCTGCTGTCTACAGCGGCCACCTGTAAGGGCTTCTCAGACTCCTCCTGTTGTAGCTTCAAAAGATACTTCTGGCAATCCTCCTCTGTGGGGAAGAGACAAGAGTGTGGCAGGCTCCCCAGGGGTGCCCCATGCCTCTAGCCACAGTCAGGATCCAGCCCGCATTCCACCTCCCTGGCCACGTTGTGCTCTAGGGCTTCACCAGTCCACTGGGGCACGACTTGCGGTTTTCCAGCTCTGAAAAGTAGAGCTGCCATCTGGCTCTGACCATCCCAAAGGGAGGTCAACAGTGTTACAGCCCTGCGGGAAGCCATCAATGTCTGGTGTGTGCATTTCTGTCCTTTTGCTGTGACGCCCCTTCCAAGGGCTCCTGAGAATAGAACCCCGGGTTTGCTTCTTCTAGAAGCCACGGCTAATGTGAACAGGGTGCCGAGCATGCAAGCAGGGTTCAGGAGGCCCAGTGGTTACGTGCATGAGGGCAGAGGCTCCAACCAAGCAAGGTGTGCCTGTCTTTGGGCAACTGTCCTAATGCCTATGCAGGAAGCAGTGCATTTCCTAGGGGACCTGAGGTTTCTAAGACTGTCAGCTTTCAGCCCCCCACCTGCCCCGTTGCTGTACCTGAAGCAACCCAAACACCCCCACGGGGGATCCGGATTCTGACTCCGACCGTGCGCGAAAGCTTTTGCCTAAGCTGTTTCCCTTGCTCTCCGCCTCTCTGGACCTCCACCTCATTCCTCTAGTCTCTCCCATCCTGGGTATTGAAAGAGGGAACTGGTTCCGCGCGGTTTCCCCCCTGCAGAATGCCTCCCCACTCCCCCGCCCCGGAAACGAGGGCCTCTCCAGGGGAGACTGTTTGCTGAGACAGGTGAAGGCCAGCTCCCTCACCCCCCGGGGATCCGGCAAGAGGGTGTCCTCACCGATGCTGGGCGCCAGTTCCAGCAGCACGTCGTCGCGGCCCAGCTTGGCAAGCAGCTCGAGCAGACGGCCCACCGAGGCGCCGGGACGTCCCTGCCAGTCGTCCAGCAGGCTGCCCGTGGGATCGGCGTGTCTCTCCAGCCGCCGGATCTCCAAATACTCGAAGCCCATCTCCTCTGCCAGCGCGGTCCAGTCGGCAGCCACCTGCGTCCGCACGTTCAGGAACAGCGAGAGGCGGCGCCGCACTCGCACGTTGAGCGCAGCCAGAGGCAGGGAAGACGTGGAGGGAGCGTGGGGCTCGGACCCCGCGTCGGGGCCTCCTGCAGCCATGGCGGGCCGCTCTGGAGCTTCCGCACTGTGGAGCTGAGTCTCCGGCCCGCACTTCCTTTTTCCTCTCCGACACCCGCTGCTCCGCCCCGCCTGTTTCACTTTCCGAGAAGCGCCTCCCTGCCTGTCAACCCGGAGCACCAGATGTGCAGAAGTTGGGGCGCCGCACACCTGCCATCGGGGGGGACCGTGGGTGTAGGATGAGGGAACTGGGTACTTGCCTCTTGAGGTCTGTGCAGGTCCGCCGACCTGTGCTGGGGGGTCTGGTGCGAGCCCGGGGGTAGTGCCGATCCTTCGGGGACTGTAGGAGCAGGGGCCTTGCTCTTTGCGATCTGATGGAATCGTATCTTTCCAATGGGGGATCTGAGAGGTTCCTGTGGTCCTGCCCTTGAGGGTGGAATGGAGGAGACAAGTGAGGAGGAGTCGGTTCTGCCTACCCTCCACCCCATCCTCCCATCCCTTGGGAATACACAAACCTGCCCCTAGGAGTATGGAGAGTCCCTGGCTGTGCTGTGGGAGAGCGCATACTGACTTCTGGAGTCTGAGACATGCCACGGCCCTGTCCTTCAAAGGTGGGGGGCACAACCCTACCCTCGGGGATTGAGGGTAACAGGGCGCCCTGGCCTTTGGTGTCTGGGGGAAGCACAGTACTACTCTCTGGGAATCTACTCCCTAGGGAAATACGTTGCCATTGGGAGTCTAGGGGGCACCTGGCCTTGCTCTTTAGGGTTGGGGAAGACTCAGCCCTGGCCTGGGGACCTCTGGTTCATTCATTGATTCTATATGTATTTATGGATCACCTACTAAGTGTCAAGAATACTGCAGGCACCAAGGGATACGGGGTCTCTCCCTGCCTTGGTGGAGATGCCAGCGTAGTAGTGCACGTGGGCACTAATCACATCATTCCAAATAACTGATAACTGGTGCTCTCTCCAGATAGGGAGCTTGTCACATCTCGGCACTCCACTCTCCTGCGTGGGGTAGGACTCTGTGGCAATTATTTAGGTCCCCCAGTTTAGATGTCGGGATTCAAGGGACAGCAGAAAAAACAGAAATGGGGAGGAAGGATTAGAGTCCGGGCTTCCTTCCCAAGCAAGAAGGCGTGGGCCGAGCTCCGGGCGGTCCCGCCTTCTGTTTGGCTGTCTGCGTGCCTGGGCGGGACTTCAGAAACGCCCATCATCTGCTTTGCAGCCGTAGGCTACCACGGTCAGGACTTTGAGTGGAGGGACCCTTTCGACGGTGACTGTAACCCCTGCTATAGGTGGTTTAGTACGGGACAGGGGGCGGGACTTGAGGCAGAATCTTCTGGTTGGCTGAGGAAGGGGGTGGGCGGGACCTTGGAAGGGAAGAGCTTGTCAGCACGGCTGTGGGTGGTGTTTTCCTTTGGGGGAAAAGTGCGGTTCCGCGACTGCGGTGATTCAAGTCTGTTGGTACCGGTGGTCTTCCGGGCGGGTCGTAGGAGACGGTCTACGGGCCAAGCTGCGCGATGCAGAGGCTGCAGATGGTGCTAGGCCACCTGAGCGGCCAGCCTGCTTTGCTTTCGAAGCGGGACCTGCAGGCCGCACCGTGTTGGGGCCGCGCTCCGCAGGCGTCAGCCGAGGACGTGGTCATAGTGCACGGGCGGCGCACGGCCATTGCCCGTAGTGCTCGTGGCGGCTTCAAGGTGAGGCCTTGGGTCGGGGCATCTGGAGTGAGATGGCGGCCGGGAGCGGGCTGGGGTCTGGCGCCTCTGCTCGGTTCCCTTTGGCGCCCGAGCTGGCCCCGCGCTCGAGCTGTGACCGCTCTGCTTCTGTGGGTTGGGAAACGGGCGCGGGGGTCCTGGGACTTCGTGTTCTGCTGGCGGGGAGTCACAGCGGATACGCTTCCCACTGCAGGACACTACTCCCGACGAGCTTCTCTCGGCCGTGTTGACCGCGGTCCTCCAGGACCTGAAGCTGAGCCCGACCCAACTAGGAGATATATGCGTGGGTGAGGACGCCACCCAGGCCCTGGTATCGATCCTCTTCGCTCTCCCATCCCGCTGAAATCCTCAAATACATCACCACCCTCCAGGTGTTTCACCAAGGGGAGTGTCAAAGGACTGGGCAACGGTGAATTTGCCTTTTTAGGGCTAGCTTTCGCCCTGCCTCCAGGCACGGTCTGGCCCCTCCAAGTCCATTCTGCATATTGAGTATGATAACAAAGCAAGGCTCTCAAGTGACATTCTAATGCCAAAACACTTGGCACAGGGGTTTGAGGACACCCTAGGAGGCAGGAAACTATAGGGTTCTCTACCGATACTGACATCCAGTCTTTGCCAGGACAGAACAGAAGGAACATAAAAAATCATCTAATCCTGTCCGTCACTTACACGTGGAGGCCTGGGGAGTTTGCAGCAGAGCTTTGGTCTGAATCCAGGGCCTCTGGACCTGGAGTCAGCCATTTCCCCTCACCTCTGCTTTTCTAGTCTCTAAACATAACAACATAGTGTGGCAAGAGTCTTATATAATGTAGGTGTCACCACCCCTAGGTCACAAATCACTGTTCCACCCATGGAGTGACAACAGGGATTGGCAGAGGACAGCTGAGGAGGTGTCAGAAAACCATGACCCTGACAAAACCAGTTAGACTTAAAGCTTTGCATTGCATTCTCCTTTTCCAGGATGACTTTAACGGCAGGCAATGTGCCCATTGTGTGCTGACTTGGAAAGGCAGAGTGTGCATGGGCAAGGGAGCTTGGGACCCTCAGGGGCTGGGTCTAGTGTGTGACCAGGAAAAGCTGCTATATAGCTTGGTCCCACTGCTCCACACGTTGGAATTCCAGGGCCTCAAGTGGGCCTGCTGGGGGCTTGTGTTCCCGAAGAAAGATCTGGAATGTCCCCTCTGGTGTTCACAGATATACCGTAGTGCCCAGAACACCACTGGACGCTGATTAATGGTTTGTTGTCCACAGGAAATGTGCTTCAGCCGGGGGCTGGGGCAGTCATGGCCCGAATTGCCCAGTTTCTAAGGTAAACTTTTCCAGTTCTGGCTCTGGGTTGGCCATTTTGACTCTTGTGTGGGCTCCGGCCTCAGGGAACTCAGCTTGGGGATGGGAGAGGATTGGGTTGCGCACAAGACCTGGGGGTAGTCAGAGTCCTCAGCACCCTGCTTTGGTGGACCCTACCTTGCTCCTACTTGAACAGGAGGATGTGTTACCTGGCACTGGGCCAAGACAAACAGGGCCTTTGGGACCATAGCAAAGGATCTCTATTACCCGATTTTTAGCCGAAGTCAAATCGTCCCTTGCCTTTTGTAAGTACTGTTTGGACTCTGGCCTCTTTGCTAGGTAAATAACTTGCAAATCACTAAGCAGGTACACTGAAGAGTAATGTTCATCGTGTTTGCCAGTTGAGCAAGCGGATACCTTCAGGTATATCTCATCAGGCCCTGGTAAACTTGCCCTTCACCTCTTGCTGTCCTGAGACAGAGGGGGAATGCTTAAGTTATTTTCACGTGTAGATTGAAGAACCTCCTAGCTTCGTACTCACAACTGCATCAAGAAGAAACAATGAGAACATAGGCCAGTGAAGGAATAGGAAGACTGACAAAACCTCTAGGGACTAGGAGAGGTTCAGACTGCTTAGCCTGGAGTTCAGGGACTCCCAGGATCTGGCTCCGCACTTCCTCTCCAGCCCTGTCTCCCAGCTGCTTAGTGGCCTTGACTCTTCCTCTTTCAGCCCGCCTGTCTGCCCCCTATTCCCTATGCTAGTCATTCTGTCCCCTTGGAGTGCTGTCCCCACCTCCTCTTGCTGCCCTAGCTAAACCCTGCGCAAATACCATTTCACCATTTGTCCCAACTTTCCCGAGCTCCCAGGCTTAAAACGGGGACCCCCTCCTCTCTGGTAGCCATGTGCTTTCTTGTGATGTGCTTTGCCATCTTGCTGCTATTTCAGCCTCTGCTAGTTGATTCATTTTCAGTGTGTTGGTCAGGCCTCCTGTAGGACACTGTATTACAGGCATGTCAGCATCCCTCAGGTGGTACCTAGTACTGAGTAGGAGTTTAGTGAACATCTGGTGCAGTGGGTGAAGGGGTGGCAACTCGGGAGTTAGGGGATCTAGGGGGCTATTTCCCTGAGAGGGTCTCAGCAGAGCCTGCTGCACACTGGAGTCACCAGAGTGCCCTGACCCCCTACAGCTAGTCCATGGGCATGGGGATTTCCCTAGGGCTTTGTACCCTTGGCCAGGGCAGGTTACATCAGGAGGGGCAGTCCTGCCAGGTTCCGGGGAAGGGAGGAGGGTGGGAGCCTGGGAGGACCTACCAGAACAAGGTGTATGTTAGAACACCTGGTACCCATCAGGATCTTTGACCAGCTGGGAGCAGACTTTCCAGAGAGAAGGGGAACAGAAAGGGTGAGCCACGTGGTTCCTAGAAAGGCTGCCCTCAAACTCGAGACATTTCTTTTGCTCTGGTTCTCTGTCCCAGAAATAGGTCCTCTTCTCTGTCCTTTGCCCTATCCTGTTTAGTTTTCATTTTTGAATCTTTATAGGGAGAGAAAGAAGGATCCCTGTGGCCTAGTTAGCCTTCCCTTTCCTTTGGCTGTGCTTGGCCTTAGTTGCGGAGAATCACAGGATGGGAGGGCATGTGGCTGCGGGGCCCTGGGGAGCGAGTGCCTATCGGTCTGCCCAGCGTGGATCTGCCTGGAGTCGGGAGAGGGCTGCCGGGTGTGCTCCCCTGGTCTTTGCACCCGCTGCTGGGGAGGTCATGCTGTCCCAGAGGGCAGGCCAGCTTTCTGTGTGCGCCTGGCAGGTCAGAGGGGGCTGACTCTGTGGTCTCACCTTCTGTTTCAGTGACATCCCAGAGACTGTGCCTTTGTGCACTGTCAATAGACAGTGTTCTTCAGGGCTCCAGGCAGTGGCCAGCATAGCTGGTAAGTTGGGGCTGGGTGGGTGCTCATTGCTACGGCCTGGCCTTGGTCCTGGCTCTGTGAATTAGGGTCAGCAAAGTCACTATCCACTGGGCAAGCAACAAGGATTTCTGAGGAGGACTCTTGTCCTAGAAAGATAAGGAGAGCCCCTTGCCGCCACCCCTAGCGTTTTCCGGACACTCCTGGGTCTTCTATCTCTGAAGCTGGGGCCCCGTTAGAGACCAGGTAGGGAGGAGGCTCCCCTGTTCCTAGCACAGATGGACTCTGTTGAAGGATGTTTATGAAATGCTTTTGTTGCAGGTGGCATCAGAAATGGGTCTTATGACATTGGCATGGCTTGTGGGTAAGAATTTTTTTTCTGCCAGAGCTTCTTAACCAGCTTGTAACAATAAAACTAATATTCATCTTCTGAGTTCTCCGAGGCCCATGATTGCAGGATTTTCCCCTCTAGGCAGCTGCCTGGGAGAGGGTTCCTCCAAATTCAGCTTCGAAGTAGCACCCAGCTCTGGCTGCTCAGGGATTGTTCACAGCTCTCAGCACTAATGGGGAAAGGAAGTGGGCTTTTCAAAGCTTGCCTTCTTGGAAATCTGTCAGGCTGGAAAATGTGGGCAAGCATCATGAGAAAATAGACCTGCCTGGTTTTCTCCCGTGGCCCTTGCTGATTCGTGATGCGGCTGAGAGAGAAGGCGCAGTTTTGGTTCTCTAACGCGAGGGACAGCTGCCTACTGTGTCACTAGTTAATTCACTTTCCTCGGCTGTCTCCTTGTCCCCCTCCCTGGTACCCAGGTGGAAACTTCGGGCTGCCTGCCGGGTTCTGAGGGGCATAATCAGATCTGTGGTGGTTTGGTCCCCGTCAGCTGTGGCTCCATCTTTGGCTGCAGCATATGAAGCTGCAGGAGATGCATTGGGCAGTGTCTCCTGGGAGGGGGAAGGCCCGGGGCCCAGGCTTGGTGGCATCTGGCACTGGGAGGACAGGCCAAGCGAGGGCCTCAGCAGGCCTGGGGAGGCAAGTGGCCTCTTTCAGTTCCTCTTAATAGAGTTTCTTCACTGACGCAACGCCAGGCCATCTCAGGGCCGTGACTCCTGACACTGAGTTGTACCTCCTGTGTCTGCAGCTGTAAATAAAACCAAAGACCACACTGCAGGGCCTTTAGCCGGGTAAGGGCCACTGCCCAGTTTGCCCTCTGATCAGCCTCTCCTGTCTGTCATACTGGGGGTGGGAGGGGTATCGGTAATTGGAGGAGAAGGCTGGAGCCTTCGTGAGTGTCTTAGAAGTTATCTGAGGTCCCCAAACAGGTTAAAAATCACGTTACTAGGCTATTAAGGGGCCGAACCAGGACTGTCCCCCACATCACAGGCTGACTGTTCTCTCATGAAGAGTGGCCCAGAACATCCTAGTTGGGAGTGGGCCCCGGGGCTAGACTCCCTAAATTTGGGTCCTGGCTGAATGACCATGGACAAGGTACTTAGCTTCTCTGGGCCTCAGTGTCCTTATCTGTTAAATGGGGGCAGCTGCCTCAGTCCTGTTGAAGTTGATAAGATAAAACGTAAGAACAGCTAACACTCTATGGCATATAGGTGACCAACACTGTTCAAAGTATTCTATGAGGCCTGGAAAGATTTGAAAATAGCGCCGGGCACATGGAAAGCATTGGGTGAGGGTTACCTGTTGTCAGCCCTCGAGGCCTTGTGTTCCCCTACCTCCTCCAAGCTCTTTTGGTCACACTAAACTGAAACCTTGCCTTCCTCTCAGCTCCTAGTACCTCCTGGTCCAGGCAGGTCCCACCTCTCTCTGATTTGCAGCTGGTACATTTTTTGTCTCTTCTCTCTTCTGAATGTGTAAGGCCCTGAGGCCAGGGCCCGGGCTTGTTGGACGTGTTTCCGGCCTGCGGCCGACACTGGGTTGAGCTGCAGAAGCCCCGGCCTCAGCTCAGGGACACGTGATTGGCCGTGCGTATGGGCTGGGCGGCGCTCTGCCCTGCGCCCCCAGCTCTGCCTCTCCCGCCGGTGCCCTACCTGGGGCTCCCGGGTTGCTTCCCAGCACTTGTCAGATGCACAGCGAGTCCTGCCAGTGTCACCTCCTCCTCCTCCTCCTCCTCAGGGTAGAGTCCATGTCCCTGGCTGACAGAGGGAACCCTGGAAATATTACTTCCCGCTTGGTGGAGAAGAAGGCGGCCAGAGACTGCCTCATTCCTATGGGGTGAGTGTTTACTGGTAGCTGTGTGCCTGCGCCCCCTCTGCTCCCTGCGGGGCGCGGGGCACGGGGGCTCTGATCCTCTCGCGGCCGGTAATGCTACCCTGCCCTCCTTTCAAGCTTGGTCTGCTCTGCAGGGACTCTGGGGGTGCTGTCCCTGACTTGCCCCTGGGGAGCCCAGGTCCTCTCTGTACCGCTGGGTTGCCAAACATGGCCTAACCTGTTACTCCCTCCCTGAGGGATTCAGTCACCTGAGGGATGATGGCAGCTGCATCCCAAAGCCTTGGAGAACTTGGAAGTTGAGGAATTAGAAAGCTTTTTGGTGAGGGAACTTGGGCCTCAACAGATGCAAAGTACGTCGTGTCTGCGTAGCACAATAGCTCTGCTGCCAGCATCCCTGAGCTTCTGGGTCACCACCAGGGTCCGTGGGCAGGGAGTCCTGGCTCTGCTTGAGGCTCAGAGAAGGGCAGTGCCCCTGCTGCCTCCATGCCCAGTGACCACATCTCCAAGAGAAGCCCATAAAGCCAGGAGCCCAGGCTAGAAGGCCTCCCTGTGGCTCTGGGTTCCCAGGATATGATCTTCCCCAGGGGACTTGGGGGTTCTCATCTCACACTTTAGAGCAGTCTCCCTGAGGCATAGGAGAAGCCAGCCAGTTAGTGCCCCTCCCACACCCTCATCTGCCCCTTTCTGGTCTCTGATGTATGAGCTTCTTAGGACCTGGGTGACCCTGTCTGTATCCCCACGCTCTCCGAGTCACCATTGCTGTCTCAGGCACGGACTGGCCTTCCAAGCCCAGCTCCCCAGCCTGGCCGGTCCCCAGGCCGCCGGAGCTCACCCACTGTGCTTGCCGTTTGTCTTCTAGGATCACCTCGGAGAATGTAGCTGAGCGGTTCGGCATTTCACGCGAGAAACAGGATGCCTTCGCGCTGGCTTCCCAGCAAAAGTGAGTGTTGCTTGGGGTGGAGTGTTAAAAGGCCAGAGAGTGAGGGGTTTCCAAGCCTGGTGCCTCGCAGGAGGAACAGGTGAGCGGGGGCAAAGGCTGCTGTGCATTAGCACTTCCATGGCCTCCTGTTGTCTGTTTGCCCTGAGTGCCTACTCCCTACTGGGCCTCAGTTACCCGATCTGGTCCCTGGCCGGGGCGGGGGTTTGTGTGTAATGAGGTCCAGAACTATTCTCTAACTGCTGTGGTTTGGTGATTAGGCATGGTAGCCCCAGGCCCCTCTGGATAGCCTGGAGTGTGGGCCAGCATTGCTGGGGACCCAGGCATCCTAGCTTCCTGGGTCTGGGGAGGCATCCAGAGGCAGGGGCTGGGGATGACATCAGAGGAACCCTGGGGGCTCGGGCCTCTGGGCAGGGGAAGGCTGAGGTTGGCAAGCCCCAGCTGCCCAGGGAGAGGACAGCAGTGGAAGGGAGTCTAGCCAGGTGGGCTTCTCTGAGGCGGTGGTTCTTAGCCACTTGGGGTCAAGGGATCACTTGAGAATTTGGTGAAAGCTGTGGATTCTTCCCATGGGAATGCCCTGGGCGCTTGATACTTTGTATTTGATGGTAAAAGGATCACCCTAAAATGCCCTGTATTTTTACACTGTGTCAATACTAAGGCTTATCAGGTAGATTAGTATAGTTATTTTAAATAAACAGAAACTGGGGAACAGATGAAAGTGAGCTGCTGTGATCAAACAGAAAGGTTGGCAAAACCCAGCACAGATGTCTCTGGGGGCTCTGTCCTTGCTTTGGCATAGAGAGCCAAGCAGGCTTGGTCCCTCATGGGTGTCAGGCTCAACTGGGAGCTGCCACCTCCACACCTCTTCCTTCTCCTCCTCCCCGCCTTCGAGGTTCGGGTTGGTGGGGGTCTGAAGATCTGAGGCTGATGGTGAAGAAGGCCCCAGAAGGCCTTGGGCCTCCCACTCCCAGGGCCAGGTCGGGGTAGTGGGGAACCCACACCGGTCCCTCAAAGCGTGTCCCAGCATTTAGCAGCCTGAGCTTGCATGTCCGCCCCTGTGGGGAGGAAGTGGAGGCAGAAGCAAGACACAAGGAAGGAAGGCTGAGCCTGGCTGTCCATGGTGCTGGCAGGGCAGCCAGGGCCCAGAGCAAGGGCTGTTTCCAAGCCGAGATTGTGCCTGTGACCACCACAGTCTACGATGACAAGGGCACCGAGAGGAGGATCACCGTGGCCCAGGATGAGGGTATCCGCCCCAGTACCACCATGGAGGGCCTGGCCAAACTGAAGCCTGCCTTCAAGGAAGGTGGCTCTACCACAGCTGGTGAGAGGGGGCCGCGTCCATGCTGGGTGTTCCCTGGGAGCTGGAGCCACCGGGCAAGGTGCACGTGGGAGGGCCGGGCCTCCTCAACCCTGCTCTGAGGCCTCTTTACCCCTGTGGTTTGCTTCTAGGAAACTCTAGCCAGGTGAGCGATGGGGCAGCCGCCATCCTGCTGGCCCGGAGGTCCAAGGCAGAAGAGTTGGGCCTTCCCATCCTGGGGATCCTGAGGTCCTACGCGGTGGTTGGGGTTCCCCCTGACGTCATGGGCATCGGACCTGCCTATGCTATCCCTGTAGCTTTGCAGAAAGCAGGTGAGGCGGCGCCTTCACACCCTACATGTGGATCCCACTTCTGCCTCTCATGCTGTTGCCAGAGCAGGGTGGCCCTGTGGGTGCTGCACAGCAGTACCCCTGCCCCAAGCCCTTCCTGACCCCACAGCTGGGACCCCCACATTCATCTGGAAGAGAGGCAGACACACCGGGCAGCCCACAGGCCAGGGATGGGGTGGGGCCTCCAGAGACTGAGAGTCCTGCCAAGGGTGAGGGGCCGCTGGCTCATCTTCAGTCTTCACCCTTTGCCCGCAGGGCTGACAGTGCATGACGTGGACATCTTCGAGATCAATGAGGCCTTTGCAAGCCAGGTGAGCATGTGTGTCCCAGCGCCGCCTGGGCCCTGCGCAGTCCGGTTGGAGCCGGGGGTGCAGGGGACAGGGAAGGGAGCTACAGCTCATGCTCTGCCTCCTTTCAGGCCGTCTACTGTGTGGAGAAGCTAAGGCTGCCCCCTGAGAAGGTGAACCCTCTGGGGGGCGCTGTGGCCTTGGGCCACCCACTGGGCTGCACTGGGGCTCGACAGGTCATCACGCTGCTCAACGAGCTGAAGCGCCGTGGGAAGAGGTGAGGCCGACTCCCCATGGGGGTGTCGGCGGGGGGGTTGCCCAGGCTGGGGCCCCCAAGGGCAGCGGGGGGGGTATACTTGCACGCGCTCTGCATTAAGGATGCAGGGTGTGACCCCCGCTTACCATGAGGTGCTGGCCTACAGCAGGCACCTGCCACCATGTGTGTGCCCAGGTGGGCAGTCAGGGGATTACATACCCATAGATCTGCAGACTCTGCCCACGGAGGCCTTGGTCCACCCAGCTGTGCCTGGGTGGACAGGTCTGCAGGGGTGGGGGCGGTGCTTCTGCCCTTTGTGCCCTCCCCCGGCCAATACCGCGTTGCTTCCTCAGGGCATATGGGGTGGTGTCCATGTGCATAGGCACCGGAATGGGAGCCGCTGCTGTCTTCGAATACCCTGGAAACTGAGTGAGGCGCCGCGCGGACAGTCCTGCTTCGGGGGCAGGAAAGCAACACTACTGAAGGGGTGCCCCGCGGGAAAGGTCCGCACTGGCGGTTGTGGTGACAGACAAATCAAGGCACTTCAGCAAATGTGGAAAATGTGAACGCTGATGACACAGCACCTCACCCACTCCTGCACTAAGTCCCCCAGGTCCCCTAGGCCACCAGGGCCACCATGTAATTCCTGGGGAGGGGGCCTTGTGATTGAAGCGTCCCACGGACACAGTAAACGTATGTTATCTTATCCCGGCGGCTGGGGTTTATTGCAAGGGCCGGTTCTTACCACGCTGGGCTTGTCTCTGCTCAGTGTGAGAACTGATTCTGAACCACCAGTCTCCACAGCGGTGCCACCTATCCTTCATGTGAGCTCTGAGGACTGAAGTGCACGACCTAGGCTAAGACCAGTGCTCTGAAGGGGGTCCCTGCATCCCAGGCGCTGCTCAGAGGTCCTCCAGTGTGTGCCCCCGCGTAGCACACCTGTTCCTTAGCTCTGGGCCATGTTTATTTGCACAGTTGGTGGGGGGTGGAGGAGGGAAGATGGGGGGCGGTCCAAGGGCAGAGCCTCAGAGCTGGTAGGGCGGCACAAATCTCTCATCGTAAGAGCCTTGGCCCCGGAGCCGCAGGGCGCAGGCCTTCTCGCCGAGCACACCTTCCACCACCAGCGTGGACTCGTACAGCTCATTGCTCCTGTGGGCCGCAGGGGGCTGAGCTGAGGAGGCAGTCCCCCCCGTGGGCGGCGCCCGCAGGGCTGGGAGGGGCCATACCTGGCCGTGAAGAGAACCTGCAGGGCGATGGAGGTTGGGGGCGCGTTGGCTGGTCGTGCCTCCAGGAGTCCACTGCTTGGGGACACCCCGAAGGCCACAGAGTCCTTGTCTGTCTCCTTCTGTCCTGCACCGAGAGGGAAGGAGCACGTACATGGACAGGCGGCTCCGTGCGCAGCCCCAGGAAGCCCCGTGCCTTCATGTCTGGGGGGTCACTTAGGATGGGTGAACTGGCCATCCCTGCAGGAATTCCCAGGCGGTGACAGCCTGCAGGGACGGGGGACACAGGCCCCTTCCACGGGGTCCTGGCCCAGCCACAGGGGAGCAGTGGGCAGGCAGACAGGAGAGCGTGGCGTACCCATCAGCACAGTCCAGTAGCTCCGGGAGCCGCTCAGGTTCATCAGGTAGACCTCCCGGACCCGCCCCCGGTTCACGAAGCAGGTCCCGAAGTCCACCCAGCTGGTGGAGAGCTGCAGCTCGGGCACGGCCACAGTGGCCCGCAGGGGCACCACCTAAGGGGACAGAGCCTTTAACTTGGTGGGGACCAGGGACCTGCTGGGCTCTCACCTGATGTCTCAGGGACACATGAGCCCTACTGACCCCAAGTACTGATGCTTCTGAGGGGCACACAGGCAGCATGGTGGAGGTGGAAGGGGGTCAGCGCTGTGCCCTAAAGCCAGGAGCTGCCGGTGGGCCTCTGCGCAGGTAGAGGCCAGGAAGGTGGCATCTGCTCCCCCTGCCACCTGTTCCCTGATCAAGCTCTGTGGTTTCTGCTTCCTGGTCAGGAGCCCTCCTGCCTGCCTCCCCCTCCCATGGGGGCCCCCGAGCCCCAGCCCTGTGTTCCCCCTTGGGCCCTAAGCCATCTCCCCTTTTCTTTTGACGTCAGACTCCACCTGTGCCCTGACTGCCCTGACTCCTGGCAGCCCCACCCACCACATCGCCCTCAGGTGCAGCCAAACACCCCTCCTTACCTCGGCCTGCCCTGCCCCTGGGCTCCAGCAGCTGCCCAGGTACCGAGCTGGAGGGCCCACCTGGTTTGAGCGCTCAGATCCTCCTTTCTGGCCCCTCTGGAATCCACTCCCCAGACCGTTCCTTCAAGTTCTGTGCCTGCACCTCACTGCTGGGCCCCGCCAGCTTAGCTCTACTTACAGCTCCGCAATCTTCTGTCACAGTCCACAGAACCAGACCTGTGGTGCCCACCCTGGTGCGTGAAGCCCCACTGGGGCCCAAGAGTCATCCCTCAGATGTTCACTGTCCCCACCCATCAGCCCACTCCCCTGGCCTGACTTTGATGTGGTTTCCCTTTTCGTTAAACAGTAATTAAATAGGAGGATTCACATGCCACCTCCTCCAGGAAGCCTTCCCTGCTTTCTCACTGTATAGCACTTCAAAACATGGCCCTGAGCTCCTAAGTCAGTTAAAACCAATGACCCTCGTCTCTCCATGAGCAAGGTCTCTTCCAAGGCAGACGGGGCCCTCAGGGCAAGGGCTTGGGCACCTCTTATTTCTGAAGGCCCTGGTGGGGTTCGTCCTCCTCTGACCCCACCAAAACAAGAGTCCAGCCCAGTCCCACCCTCCCCGGCACATGGGGCGGGCCCGCGGCTCGCCTGCATGGTGTGGTTGGCGTGCTCCAGGAGAAGGCTCTGGGTGAACACCATCTCTTTCTGCCCACTCGCGCTCTGCTGAATGTCCACTCCGGGCAGCATCTGGTCAGCTGGGAGCCTCTGGTAGGACAGCAGCTCCAGGGACAGCGAGAAGGACACGTCCACCTGAGCAGGCGAGAACAAGCCGTCCCTTCGGCTGCTGCAGGCGGTGGCTACTTCCTCGCCTGGAGCTCCGTCCTGCCCTCCCGCGGCCCCTGCAGGCCCGACGAGGTCCTGGCTCCGTTGTGACTCGGCCAGGCCTGCAGGGCCCAGACTGACGCAGGCCCAGCAAGGAGCCCAGCAAGCGCGCCTCCCCCAGCGCCCCCCAGAGCCCCTGCCAGGCGCACTCATTCCACAGCACTGGCTGCCCCGCTCTGTGCCCAGCCCCCACCAGCACCAGGGACAGTGCCGTGCCTGTCCTTTACCCCCTAGCTGACCAGACTGGCGGTCTCTGTAAGGCCTGTGTTTTTGCCTTGAGGACAGAGAGGAGCCTCTGGTGGGTTCTAAGCAGCAGGACGTCTGAGCCAGCTTTGCCTCCCTCAGAGGTCGTGTCACTCTGGAGTGGGGGGTCAGTCACATGCAGTCTGGATTACAAATGTCTGTGTGTATGCGCGCCAGGGACAATTGTGTAAGACTTCAGTGTGTCTGTACATTCGCGTGCATGTGCGAGACAGGAAGGTGCCTGACCCAGGGGAGTGTTTCCTTCCAGGGTGAGGGGGAACCCCAGAACCCTCCACTGACCAGCATGCTCTCGTGTGGGTGGAGCACCAGCTGCCTGCCTGCCGCCGCCGCCCCCTCCTCACGCTCCTGCTCCCAGCCAGGGCCAGGGGCTCTGTGACTGCGGCCAACTCCATCTTGAGAAACAGAGAAGGGCCTGGAAACGCGGAGCCGGAAGTAGTGTGGGATTTCCGTCGTGTTGGTCAGCTTCAGGTGGTGGGTGGTCACCAGCTCACTCAGTACCTGGGTGGCCACAGAGGTAGGGGAGGGGAGGCATGCCTCTCTCCCCTCTCCTCGAGCCCATAGCTCTGAGATGGGGATGGGGTGCTGGGGAGGGGACTCAGACGAGAAGGCCCATGCCTCAGCAGGGCCCACAGGGCTATTTGAGGTCTAGGTAAATTGTGAGGGTCTGGCGGGCAGCACACTCACCCCAGAACAGGGCTGCTCCGGGATGAGGTCGCTTGCCTGGAGCCGGAATTCCGTGCCGCCGCCATAGTCCAGCTCGACGCTGAGCCTGCCAGCAACAGGCATCGCAGGGACAGGCTGGGCCTCTGGGTCCCTGGCTGTCCCCAGTGCTGCTGATCTGGGCCTGGCCAGCTTCCCCTGGGCTCACCTGCTGGCTGCTTCTCCCTCCCATTCCTATTGTCTTGCTCCCAGAACCTTGTCTGGTCCCCACCAGTGCCAGGGAAGGGTGCTCCCCACAGGGGACGAAGGGAGGCCAGGCGGCCCAGCTGACTCACTGTGCGGGCCTCACGTAGCCATGCAGGTCCAGCCTCAGGGGTCCCACGGCGAAGTCCTGCAGACGCCACCTCCTCCCTGGAAGCTCCCTTTCCACCTACCGAGCCCAAGCCCGCTGAGCAGGTGCGTGCTACCCAGGAGGGAGGCAGTGGCTGTGGCCCCACCCCGGGCCGGGAGGGCTCACCTCGTTGTCCAAGCTCATGAAGCCAAGGGCATAGCCAACACACTCCACCTTGTGCAGGACGTGGGGGGCAAGGACCATGGGTGTGAAGGAGACGGAGATGGTGCTGCTGCCCCCTGCAGGGACCACCTGGCACAGGCACACGGCCTTAGCACTGCTTGGTGCCGCAGTCCGGCCAGTGGGGGCTCTTCCGGGCAGCTCCCAGCCCAGCCCCAACTCACCACCTGCTTGGGGCTGATGCAGTACAGGTGGTCGGAGGGCACTCCCTCGTGCCCCTGCAGGACAACTGAGATGATCTGTCGGGCCCTGTCATTGGCCTTGCAGCCGCTCTCATCCTGTCATCAAGATGTCACTGAGGCTCACACAGGCTCAAGGCCCACTGGCCACACCTGGACAGCTAGTCTGAGACCGCCCACCTCCCCTCTGCTCACAGACTGGGCAGCTTCATGGCTGGACAAAGATTCGTTAGAGAGACTTGGGGTCCAGAAGGGGCTGCCGCTCTCTGGGATCTCAGGGCACAGGAGGTCATTTCCGGCTTGGTCCCGCAGCGGGAAAGGCGGCCCGTAAAACACCAGCAGATCCACCAGCTGGTCCTCCTTTTCTTCTGGAATATAGGTTTCCCAGTCCAGGCGGATGTCTGGGGCAGGTGGTGGGGGCGGGGGGCAAGGAATAAGGAAAAAGCAGGCAGATCTTCCCCGCGCCCCGCCTCCCTGCAGCCCCTTGGAGGCTGCCTGTTATCCCAGACTGTGTGGAGGGGGCCTCGCTCCTTCTCTACTGTCACTTACTGACAATTCTGGTTAAAAAAAAAAAAAAAGTCTACAGGCTTAGACCCTCCGGCTCTATCACCCCTAGTCCTCCAGGTCACAGGGCGGGGTCTTCACGTCCCAATGCACGAACCCAGGCACCCTGCGCCCTCCCCCAAACGCCCCCTCTGCTGGCCTATTTGCTGACCTCCGGGCCCTCCAGCTCCTGTACCCACTTGGTCTCCCGCTCCACCCATCAGCGCCAACCCGCGTCCACGTCCTTCCCCAGCCAGCCTAGTCTTTGGGGACTGCCACATCCACTTCTGTCTTGCCAGGATTCTCACGTCTCCTCTGCCCCCATCTTTGTACCTGCCTGGCAAAACCTAGCCCTGCACGAACTGAACTGACCCTCTGGGCCCCATTGTAGAAAGTCCCTCACATTCCAAACAGCTTGCCATCCCCCTAAATCTGTTCCCAGCCTGAACTGTGCCCCCCCCCCCACCGCCCGTCACTCTGTTGTCTACTTAGCTTTCCTTGCCACACTGTCACATCTTCCCTGTCCTCTGGCACCTCGACTGCCTCCCTGTCACTTAGCAGGTGGTCCCACCTCACCTCCCAGAAGCCCCCAAATCAGGAAGCCCCTGAAGTCCTGACCCAACCCCCCAGGTCTCTCTGTACTGATCCCATCTCCCCTCCCCGCCAGCCTTCAGTCCTGTCCCCCCGCCCCTCTTCAGGGGCCAGCCACGTCCAGTCTCCCCCTCGCCCCGCTGCTTCCCGGCAGCACTTACACAAGGACAGGCCCCCTCACCTTGAACAAGCTTCCCTCTGCCAGGAGACCTTTCCCGTACCACCGTCTCTCTCCCTGTCATGGGATACGCTGTCCCTCATCGCCTCCTGCTCCTCGGCTCTCGCCCACACCCCAAGCAGCATCTGATTCATGGGCCTGGCCCTGAGGCACAGCTGGTGCTCACATGCCAAGGCTCCTGATCTTGTGTTACTTCAGAACGTTAGCGGGCACTTGCCTTTCACCCTCATCCCATCGCTCTCAGCAAGGCCACCAGCGACCTCCACAATCTCACTTTCAAGTAAAGGCCGGGAAATGAGCACGTGAGGGTGAGCCCCCAAGGGAGGGAAGGTAACCACCGCAAGAAAGGACAGTAGAAGAGAAATTCCCAATGAAACAAAAGGAAGGCAGAATGAAGTCATGAAGTGCAAAATGAAGAAAGTAGGAAAGTGAAGTAAAATAAGTCATAAAATAAGGAAGAAAAGTATATACTGAATGACTATTCCTCTGAAAAGATATAGAATGCCAGATTCTGGGTTTTTAGAAATTCCAGCTCTCTGTTTACAGATAAACACACATCACAGCCACAAGGGTGCAAACGGGGATGGGCGAACAGATAGCAGCCAACGCCAATGTGCGGCCAGGCGCAGCGATGTTACTACGGGCAAGGTGAGACAGGGTGGCTAAAGTCATCATTCGCAAGATTTAGTTCTCAAGTGCACCTAACAACAGAGCAGGTAAAAACATAAAACTACTGGAAGTGCCAAGAGAACTTGATAAAGATGTGATTAGAGTGGTTTACTTCAATATGTACACCCTTTCCAAATTGCACAGATCCAGCAGACAAAAACCAGCAAGATCACACAGACGGGCAGTGCTCTCTCCCAGCTGCCTGTTCCTTAGAATCACCTGTGGCACTTAAAGGCCACCGTGCGCAGGCCCTGCCCCTAGACACTCTGGTTCAGCTGGTCTGGGGTAGCCCCGCCTCGAGAGGCCCGGAATCCTCACCACGAGGCTCTGACTGGTCCTGAGACGGCCACAGCTCTTCCTGTGGCCCAGATACCTGTTGTCCCCATACACTCCCCCAGGCCCAGATGGCTCGCCCTCCCTCCTGGGCTCAGCCTGAGCAGCCCTCCACCTAGACGCAGTCCCCAGCCCGTGGGCTTGGCCCAGCAGTCACACACAATGCGCCCCACACGCTGGCAGCCCATCTCGTTGCCGGTCCTGCCCATCAGGGCAGAAGCCGCTCGGCAGAGGCCCAGTTGCCCTAGTCCCTCACTATCCCCATCTCCTTGCAAGAACCTGGCATGTAGCTCAGCTACTTCTGGCTAAAGGAATGAGAAAAGGTGTCCCCTGCCAGCATCTGTCCCTGTGCCCTGGGTTGGGCAAGGCTAAGTCCTGTCCTCAAGGATACAAATGGCTCTCTCTGACAACTCCCCGACTGGCCTGGCCACGCGCCACCTCGGCCCTTGGGGGCCTCCCTCAGTGACCACAGGCCACCTGGACTCCTAGATTCTGGTCACAGGCCATTGGCTTCCCCCAGCCCCACTTCCCTCCCAGCCTGGCCCACCACACGGCACAACTTATAGCCCCAATTTATCTCACAAACGTCTCACCGCAGGGGCTGGAGTTATTCAGGCGAAGGACCCGGGTGACTGTATCTCCTCCAGAGACCTGCGTGCTGAACCTGGGGGCGGGAGACCAGGCTCAGCCCAGCCACAGGCAGCACACAGGAGGGCTGGAGTGGGGGCTCAGGCAGGGAGGAGGCCCCCCACCGTGGTCTGGCCTCATCCTGCCGTCGCCAAAACCCAGTGCTGGCGGTCTTCCCCATGCGGTGCCTGGGGAACTGTGACCCGCCCCCCCCCTGTGACAACCCGCCCCCCTCCCCGCTTCCTACAGCCACACTGACTGATAGATCCCACCTCAGTTGGTATGAGGTGCCCTGGGTGTGGCACAGACCTCAGGCCACACTGACTGCACTGTCCCCAAAAGCTGTCTGAGATGTGTGTGTCCCCTGAGGCCTCTCCCCTCTGCGGCAACCCTGTCCTGGGGCTGTCTTGCTGTGTGGCACCAAGTGGCCCTGGGCCAGCTGAAAGCAAGAAGAGAGCAGCCCAGGCTGGAGGCTGGCGGGTTCCCAGGGGGCGGAGCATGAAGCGGGGGCAGGGCACCTGATGACAGGCTCCTTCTGCGGCTGGTCAGTGATGTAGTTGGTCCTCAGAGAGCTGATGGGGCAGCCCACCACTGCCATGCGCACCGGGATGACCGAGGGCGGCAGGTCTCCCACCTGCAAACACACGCCGATCCTTTGTCACTCTTGTCACCTGCTGCCACCGCCTTCCCTGGCTCCTCATCCCCTTCATGCAAGGCCTTTCCCCCTCCAGCCAGCCCAGGGTCTCTACGGCCTGGACCCGCTCCTCCCAGCCGGAGGCTCACCCCGGACGCCCCGCGGGCCGGGGCTCCCCTGCCCTTCCCTGTCCGTCCTGCCTGCCCCAGACCCGCACAGACCTCCCAGGCTGCCTGCCTTTCACCCGCTATGGCCCATTTCATCCAATCCCTCTATCTTTTACATGGAAAGAAATGTATTATTTCTCTCTGCTAATAAAAAGTAAAAAATGCTTTTTTAAAAATTTAAAACAGTCTGATAATCACCCATAACCCTATGCCTGTCAACATTTTCACGTACAACTACCTAGGCAGACCCCTTTGGGGTGCATAAGACAGAGGTGTGAATGAGGAGCGGACAGGCACGCTTCTGTTCTGTTCTGCTCTGTTTCGCTCCTTCTCTTCACAACACAGAATTTTACTAATGAAGGTTCACACGCAGCAGGGGTGTCCAGCCTTTGGCATCTCTGGGCCACATTGGAAGAAGCGTTGTCTTGGGCCACACATTAAATACACAAACACTAATGAAAGCTGATGAGCAAAAAAAGGGTTTTAAGTAAATTTACGAATTTGTCTTGGGCTGCGTTCACAGCCGTCCTGGGCCGCGGGCTGGACACCCCCGGCAGCGCGGCTTCATGGGCTATGCAGGATTCCGTCGCGTGGGTGTAGCCCATGTTTGTATCCAGTCTTCTGTTGACAGAGGCGGATGCTTAGGTTGTTTCCTCCCCTGCCCACCCGTATTATAAACAATGTGGAGAAGGGAAGGGAACCTGGTACAAAGCTATTTGTTCACGTAGCCACTTCTTTCCTTGGGGAACCTTTAAATGTGGGTGCCCTGCACGTGGCAAAAGTGCCTGCAAAGGACGACACCTGTTTCCGAGCCCGCGCCTGCAGCGTGAGAGCACCCTTTCCCCTGCGCCTCCACCGCCGCTGCTAAACCTTGTGACTCTTACCAAAAAAAGGACTTCAGTGTGACTTTAGTTACCGGTGATGGTGACATCTTCTCCTATGTTCATCGGTCATTTGTAGTTGTCATTCCTGAATCGACTACTCAAAAACCCTTTGCCCACCTGGGCTGCTTTGTCCCCCTTATTGTTAGTTGAGAACTCTGTATATTAAGGTGATCAACCCTTTTGTCATATATCATACAAACAAGGTAAAGCAAATATCTACTATAATTAACCTGCCCAGTATACGAAATAGTTCAAGAAACGCTTCTGTGCCATAACTACATTGTGTAGGATAATGTACACGTCGCACCCCTGCCTACTAAGCTAGGAAGGCCCTGAAGGGTCTTGTCTGTTAGCTTGTTCATCCCTGTCTCCTCCCCAGTCCAGCGGACCACACGGAGACCTGCACACAGGAGGTGCTCCCTTTCACGCTCAGTGAGTGAGTGAGCAGATGAAGGCACAGACAGGAGAAGGAATGAATGCACGGAGGGTGAGGCGAAGGTGTCGCCCTGGGAGAGCGCTACTGTCCCTCCACACTTACTCCCCACTTCGGTCTGGGGTCCTGGCCCAGGGAGGCAGCCTGCTGGCTCCCTCCACCCTCCTCGGTAAGGTCCCAGCCAAGGGACCGCATGGGAAAAGCTGTGGCAGCTTCCGCTGCTCACAAGGTGCCCCTGCCTGAATCCCAGGGGCTGCTGCAGATGCGGAGGCCGCCCCCCACCCACGTCTTCTCATTTGGTGAGATGTGAGAGGAGGTGGGAGTCTGAGGTGAGGGCCCAGACCAGTTCCGCGCCCCACCCCCTCCCCGCACCGCAGGCCCCGCCCCCCTGCCAGCCCTCACCGCGCAGATGAGCTCATCCCAGTACTCGCCCCACATGTTCGCGCAGCCTGTGACGTCGATGCGGAGCTGCTGGTAGGCCCCCAGCACACCCTGGGAAACGTGGGGAAAGAAGGCAGCTCCTTTCCCGTGAGACAACATGCTTTCCATAAAATCTGGGGGAGAACAGGAAAGGGGATTCAGGACCCCGGGGCGGGGGAATGCGGTCCAAACCCTCAAGCATTAGCAAAGCTCTGTACCAGGCAAACGACCCCGACCCCGTAGCCTCTCGTTAGTCCAGCAAAACAGACCCTCTATCCGGGATCCCAGCCCCCAGGGGGAGCCCTCCCTTCTGAGCCACCACCCATCCCAAATTAAACCCAGGTCCTGGGCACGACCCTTACGCCCTACCAAGAAGGCCTCATTCAAAAGAGGGGCACCGTCAGGTGGTGAGGAGACAGCCATCTCAGAGACTTTGCTAGAAAAGATCCTGAGAGGGTCAGGGTCCGCAACATCAGGACGTCGTAGAAAGGCCCACTCTCGCCAGGCCTGGGCTCAGCGCCTGCCCTGGGAACCTTACCCAGCTGCTCCCTCTTGGCCAACTGCTGGCGAATCCGCGCCGTCTTCAGCAGGGCAGGAGACACGTCGGAGCTTCACCAGAGGGAACACAAAAGCAGCGTCAAGCCATCCAGACCCTGGCAGCCAGCATCCAACCAGGTGCCCAGTGGAGGAAGGCGGCCCTGACTACTCCTCCCAGGGAGAGCCGGCCAGGTCTCTTCTTCGCCGCCCTCTCTGGCCTTTGCTCCTGCTATGTCCCTACAACCCAAAGCCACCCTCCCCAGCCTGCCCGTTTCTGTGCCTTCGTGACCCCTGGATGCTAACCCTGCCCGGACTCCCCACCTCTTGCCCAGCTCTCTGCAATAGGCCCCCGCTGCCAGCCTCTCCTGCTGACACCTGTCCGGCATCGAGGGCACACTAACTTTTCTGGAGTGGGGAAGCTAATGGCTTAGAAACTGTGAATGGTTCCCCATGACCGGCGGCAGTGGTTTTAGAGTTGGGCTCCCCTTTCCCTTGTGATGTGGCAGCAAGGCGTTTGCCACGCTGTGCTGGTAAACTGCCAGCTTCTGTGGTGTGAACACTTTCCCTGTGGCCAATTTCAAGTGACAGCGTTGCAGGGTGCCTCACTGCCACATCTCTGCCCACACAACTCCCTCTGCCTCCAGGCCCTTCTCCCTCATCCACCAGCCTGACTCAGAAGCCCTCGGCCAGCAGAGCAGGCTGAGGAGGAGGGGCCTCAATCCCAGCCTCTCCCACAGGCCCCCCAGGTCCGGGGTGTGGGCAGCAGGAGCCACGTCCTCTCTGCGTTTCCCGGGGCGCCCCCCTGTGGAAATGCGCCCTCCCCCTCACGCCCTCCTGCCTCAGGCCACCTGCGCCCCACAGAGGCTCACGGGGGCACACCCCACCTGGCCACACCCTCCCCGGGGATGGCCTCTGGAAGAAGCCAGACTTACAGGCTGGGTTTTTGTCTCAGGCTGCTTGCAGGGCTCCCGAAGTACTCAAACTGGAGGGTGAAAGAGGTCTGTATCGGGGAGTGATTGGTCAGGACGAGCTGGCGGCTCACACAGGTCCTCAGAGGTACCGTCGAGCCGAAGTCCAGGCGGAGCTCCTTCTCGTGGCCTGGCTCCGGCTCTGCGCTGGGGACACTGCCCCGTGCCCATGGGCACCAGGTCACATGCCACCCTTGGCCCTGCCCAGTGAGCCACCGTGGGTGGGGGTGTGAGCACTGTCTAGAAACCAGGTTTCGTCCTCACACTCCCACCTCATCAAGCTGCCACTCTGCAGCCACACCCTGCTTGTCAGCCCATGGGGCCGAGAGGCTTCGAACTTCACTAACTCTCCTGGCCAGGAGCCAACTGGCTTGTCTCCCAGCTGCTGGGCCCCAGGTAGGAAAACCCCAGGTACCCACAGCCCTGTCCCCTGCCATCTCCCATCTGCCTGGACACCATGCGCCCAAGTGTGCGGGGAGGGGCCCCTTCCCGGCCATAGGAATCAGCCGGGAGGAGGCTGGTACCACAGGGCGATGCTGGTCCTCCGTGCGGCCGCGTCGGCACTCGGGCCCCGGCCCCGGCCCTGGGCTCACCTCTCGTCAGAGCCCTCCGCAGAGATGGCGATGCCCACTCGCAGTCCCTGGGGTTTCCCAGAAATGCCCAGAACCAGTGGCTTCTTCATGCCTGACACAGTACAAGGGAGGGCCAGATCGGTCAGCTCTTCCTGGAAGAAAGCCCACCAGGGGCATGTTACTACAGGCAAGTCCCAGGCCTGGGCCTCAGGACTTCTCCGGCACAGGCGGCTGCTGTGGGGCGCGCTCAACACAAAGGCCTTGCTCATCTCTGCGGAGGGCTCCCCAGGCCCTCCATGGGCCACCAGCCACGGGCCCTACGCACTGGCCGCATGCTCGCCCCAGGAAGCCCGGTCCCTTCCCCAGGGCTCCTGTCTGTTTACTCCAAACGTCTGGGCATGCCCCCGTGAAAGGAGACCCTGAGGATTGACCTCTGGAGAAGCTGCCCATTTATTTTGATGAAGCTGCTCCCACAGAAGCCAGACGCTTCCTGAGTGAGGCCCACTCCGTGCCAGGCCTGGGCCCACCTGTCCGTCACCCTAGAGCTCAGGCTCAGCTGGGTAAGAAAGCCCACTGTCCCCATGTTTGCGAGCGAGGACCTGGGACAGGATCTGCAAGTCTCTGAAGAAAGAAGTTCCTTCTTCACGTGCCACCCAGGTGGCCTTCCTGTGGGCCACACCACGGAGGAGCTGTGCCCTTCTTAGGAGGCACCGGGCTGCTGATTAGTGCCCCTCCCAGCAGCTCCCACCACAGGGCCCGCTGTGAGCAGCAGCTCTGGCCTGCGTCTCTGGGCAAACTGGGACGAAGGGCCCGCCTGTGGCCACAGAGAACAGCCTGGGGAGGGCTGAGCCTGGTGCCACTGGTGAGGAGTGGCCAATGGGTTCCAGGGCACATCCAGGTCAGGCCTGCTCCAGGCTCTCTGACCTCGTGTCCCTAGAGGGAATGGGGAACGCAGACTTAAACACAAGAAATCTCTTTCCCCCTCACAAAGACCGGGGGTAGGGTCTGAGGCCAACGTCCCCACCGGCACAGAGGCAGGCAGTCGAGGAGTATCTTCTCAGGCCCTCGGCCACTTCACACCCCTACTCACCTGGGTGTGCGTAGTCAACTCCAGACTGAGCTGCAGCTCCTCACTGGGCCCCAGTGTGCCACGCCTGGGAGAGACTTTTGCTCTGCAGAAGCTTGCTTGGTGCCCCAGGAGCTGGCAGACACAAGGGTGGGCCTGTTGTCACGGGCTAGGCTCCCGGGATGGACCAGGGGTCCAGACTGAGTGCCCAGCACTGCTGCATGCTCCGCTGGAGGCTGGCAGGCTGGGGGCTGCAGTAAGGACCAGTAGGGCCGGTGCTTACAGGTGGGGGTAAACCACAGGTCGCTTCCCCTCTCCTTCCCCGCCCCAGATGGACCTCGCATCTGTCGAGGGTCGCCTGGACTATGTGAACGCCCCTGGGAGGCCCAGGGGTGGGGGAGCGAGGGCAGCTGCCTCTGATACACAGGGAGGTGCCCCCTCTGCCACGGCACGCAGTGCAGACTCCAGTTGGCCGCACGGACATTGCCTCGGCTGGGCTGCCGACTGCTGCACGGGCCAATCATGGGCTGGGGGCTCTAGCTGTGGGCACCTGAGGCTCCTTCTCAGACAGGCAGCTGGAATTCCCTGAAGGCAGGCCAAGGAAAAGCCAGACCGCATGTCCCGCTCCTTCGAGGGGCCCAGCTTTTCTGGGCACTGTGGGGCGAAGGACAGGCTGTGGAAGGGGGGCTGAGCATCTGTTCTGGGGGCGCCCGAGGGGCAATGCCCCCTCCGCAAGGGCTTCTGGTGCTGAGGGCCGCAGGCTGGGTGTGACAGGGTGGGCTCCCTCACCTTGCCCCAGTGGAACCGGGTGGGCAGGAGCGTGCCGTTGATGAGTGTGACAGCTGCCATGGTGGGCACGCCCAGGTAGAGGCTGCTGACCTTCACGTGGCTGCTCTGAAGGTACACGTAGGGCTCCTGGACCTCGGCATACACAGGGAGGTAGCTGGAACACAAGGAAAGAGGAGGCACAGTAATCAGAAGAAGAGAAATAAAACTATCCCTGTTTGCAGATGACATGGCAGTCTATGTAGAAAATCCCAAGGGATCTATTTTTTAAAAACTCTGAGAACTCATAAGGCAGCAAAGTGACAGGGTACAAAATCAACATACACAAGTCAATCACACCTTTATATGTTGACAATGAACATGTGGAAACAGGAATTAAAAATACAGTGCCATTTATAATCGCTCCAAAAATGAAAATACTCAGGTATAAATCTGATTAAACACGTACAGGATTTGGGTGCTGGCAACCAAAAGACACCGATGAAAGAAATCAAAGGTAAGTTAATAAATGGAGGGACATGCCATGTTCATGGGTTAGAAGAGTCAACAGAGGAAAGGTGTCAATTCTCCCCACATTGATCTACAGGTTTAACATGATTCTTGTCAAACTCCCAGCAACAATTTTGTAGATACAAACAAGCCGATTATAACATTTATATGGAAAGACAAAAGACACAGAATGACTAAAACAAATTTTTGAAAGAGGGCTGAAGTAGAAAATCACTGTACTGATGCTAAGGCTTGCTATATACCTACACTCAGCAAGATGGTGCGCTCTTGTTGGAGGGCTATGAACACCGATCAGTGGAAAAATGTAAAAATCCTAGAAATAGACCCATACAAATATGTCTGGGTTGGTTTTCTTGGTATGATGAATGGAGGATAATTCAAAGGTATCCATAAAGATTTAAAATATACATTCAGCCCTGACTGATGTGGCTCAGTGGACTGAGCACCGGCCTGTGAACCAAAAGGTCACCGGTTGGATTCCCAGTCAGGGCACAGGCCTGGGTTGCGGGCCAGGTCCCCAGTGGGGGCGTGTGTGACAGTCAGCTGAAAAATAAATAAATGAAACCTTAAAGAAAAAACAGAAAACCCAACATCTAAAAACAAAACAAGCATTTAAATGTTTTCATAATGAAATATAAAATACATGCAGAGATAGATGCCTATAAAACAGTGTAAATGTGTTCAGTTTAGCAAATAATAGTAAAAAAGAACAACTGTGGACCACTACTACTCAACGTATTCCAGAATATGTCCACCAGCCAGCTGAAGAAAACAAACATTAAGCTTCAAAGTAATTTGGGAGGCGGTGGGCAGAGTGGATGAGGGAGTGAATGACATAATATTCTCCATAATTTGATAATTATTGAAGGTAGGTGATGGGTACGTGGGGCTCATTTCACAATTCTATTTTTTAAAAATCCTCACCAGAGAATATGTTTACTGATTTTAGAGAGAGGGGAAAGGAGAGAGAAACATCAGTCAATTGCCTCCTTCCTGTACGTGCCCCGACTGGGGATCGAACCTGCAACCTTTTGGTGTACGGGACAACGCTTCACCAACTGAGCCACCTGGCCAGGGCCAGTTCTATTTCCACATGTTTAAGAAATTTTCTGGAGGGAAGAAAGGGAGGGAGGGAACATCCCTAATAACTTTTGAGACCTACATATAACTTAAGTGTAATAATAGTATTTGCTTATTTAAATATGCCACAACTATTTTGTGTCTGTTCTCCTGTTGAAGGCTGATTGCTTCCAGTTTTTCACCACTGCAAACAGCCTGGCTAGGAGGACTCCCACACAAGCACCTGGCGGCCGCTGGACGGGGGCAGCTTCCTCTGGGGCTTAACCTAGAAGGGCTCATGCTGGATCACAGGGTATGCACATAGTTTACCTTCTATTTTCTGTAATTTCCAAGTTTTATAGAATAAAAAAAAGTGCGCTGTAAGGGCTACCCCTGCGCAGCACACCGCCCCCCTCCCCGCCGTCCACTTACCTCCAGGGCCCGTTCACAACCTCCAGCACCAGCACGGTCTGCAGGCACTGGCATTGCTGTGCCTCCAAGGTGACGTCCACTCTGCACTCCCCCAGAGGGTGGACCTGGCCGCTGGAGGGCTCAATGTTGAAAGGAGACACCTGATTGGGAGGTCAGTCCAGAAGGATAAGTAAGGAGTAAGGATTCTTGGAACTGCAGAACCTGGGGCTGGCCCTGCCCAACCAGGGTCACCCCCAAGCTGCCCCCAGCTCTTCAAAGAGCCACGTAGGATCCGGGAGGAGGCAAGCAGGCAGGGAGCACCGTGGGGCAGGAGTCTTGGGGTCAGAGAACAGAAACCGAGTCTCCCAGGGGGAGATCTCCGTGCACTGGCCAAGATGTGAGAAGCGACATGTTGGGGGCGTGGGGACCGTGCTGGGGGAGGGGCGGTGGCTCTCTGAGAGGTCTGCCCGGCCCCACTGAGCCTGTACGGGTCAACACCCCGATGGCTTTAAGTAAGGAAAGCAGTCAAGTTGCCAAATTCGGGGAGGAGTGAAGCTTCCATGTGGCCACAGATTTCGAACCCTGCCCCAGGCAGGTCTACCCCCTCCCCGACAGGGACAAAGGGAGAGGGGAAGGGAGGGGGGTTAGGAACAAGAGTGTACCTGGGTAGGGCTCTCTATCCCCTTTCTTTCTGTCCTTTCTTTGTGTCCATGGGCCACACTGGCTAGTAGGCTGTCATTGGACATTGAAAAATCACACCCAGGAGGGAGATTGATCCTCTTTGGTCTCTTCCTTCCATGAGACCCAGACAATGAGTACCTGTCCACCCTACATGGGCCTGGCTGGCCTAATCTCACCTTATCTCCTACCCAGGCGGCCATGCTGTGCTGCCTGGGGCCCTGTGCTCTTTTGCCTCTGAATTTTGCTCCCCAACACTGGCAGGAGGTGTGGGCTGGCCGTCACTACAGGCCATTCAGGCCTGACTCCCAGAGAAAGTGCCTTGTGTGCTCCGGCTTCATCTCCTATGATTCTGCCACCCATCAGCCGTGTGACCCGGTCCCTCTCGGTCTCTCCTCCACCAAGTCAGGAGATTGGCTATGGTTCCTAAGGTTCCAGCTGGGCCCTGGGAAACCCCAAGGAGTCCTCAGAAGTGGGGAGAAGAAGGATGGGGGGGGGGTCTTGGGGTAGCCAGAGAAGCCATACTTTATTGTAGGTTCTGGGCTTCTGTGTAATGCTTCATGAGAGGAAAGGGTCCCTGTCTTACATACTGACACTAGCCTGTCCCCAGTCCCAGTCCCAGGCCTCTGTGGCTTCACAGTCCAAGCGGGGAGACTAATGAGCCCCAGCTGGGGAAGTGCTAACTCCAAGCCTGTGTATCTGGACACTTGACGATGGCGTTGTGATTGGATGCAAAGGCCTAACTTCCAAGGTGCAGAGTGCCCGTCTAGAGAAGTAAGGCCATCGGGTAAAGGAGAGTGGCTTTGGAGTGGAGAGGAAAAGTCCTGAAGAAGGGAACATGAGTCAGCAGAAATGACGCATGAGTGGCTGTGACTCTTTCCCTGCTTCTGAACGGGGAAGGGAAAGCCCTCAGCGTCCTGACCTGGAGAGCAAGTGGACAAGCGAGAGGGAGACCTGCGCAGGACACAGTCAGAGGGAGGTGCTTTTACCAAACACACCTGTCCAGAGGCTCGCAGGTGCAGGGGGACCCAAGGAGGCTCCCAGGGATCTAAGGCCGCCGAGTGTGACAGCGGGGGTGGCTAGCCGCTGGTTTACAGCTCGCGGCTGCCCGTGAGTAGGAACAGACGCATTGTGACCTGGTCTTCTGGACTGCACATCGTCTACTCAAATGTGATGCCGCAATTTACATGTGAGGATGATAATACGTAGCTGCTTTTGGTGTTTTCTTATTTTATAGTAAAAAGAAAAGTGCTTTTTGAATGGAAATGAATCGGGTTTTCTTTTGGGAGCCCTTCAGTTTGGGCTGGAGCCCAGGCCCACGCACCCCCTGGTGGCAGGCACGCACACTGCAGGCACCATCCTGGGGAAGTTCCCGAACTCCGAGAGCCCGCCCAGCCCATTCCTCCCGGGAGGCCTTGGAAGCTTCCTGCCCAGCTCAGCTGCCTATTTTCCTCCTGACTCAGGCAGCTCCGACAGAGGGGGAAACCCGTGTCCTATTTCTGCGTTAGACAGGAGGGAAAGTAACAGGAAAGTCCAATTTGGGGTTAAATTCTGCTGCAAAAAGTACCCAGCAGCTTCAAGGATGGGTTGAACTGGGGACACTGTCAGGCTAAAGTCACCGGGCAGGCTTTTCCTCTCCCAGCCTCGGCCCTCTGACTGCCTCAGCGCTACATTTGCAGGGCAAACACAACACAGGGACACTGGCCCCCCTGGGGGGTGGGGTGATTGGGGGAGGGTGGGGGGCGGGGCAGGGGAATGCGCTGCTGGAGCCCGCAGGGCCTAACTTACGGCCTCGTGCCTCTCTTCCAGGCACGTGGCGCTCTCCTTCAGGCACCACGTGGCCGGCAGCGGGCTGGCGTTCTGGATCTGGATGGAGGTGGTGGCTTTCTGGCCCAGGCGCAGCAAACCAAACTGAAGGGCTGCGGCGTCGATGGCCAGGGCAGGCCCCTGAGACAGCCAGAGGGCCCGTCACCGGGCCACCTGGGCACGGTCTCTGTGCCCTTCCCCTGCCACCTGCCCGGCCTGCCCAGCGGCACCTTAAATGTTGCCTCGATGTGCAGCACCACTGGCGAGGGTGAGTCTCTGATTTCACACAGCAGGTCCTGGCTGGTTGGGCCGGGGACGCCCCCGGTAAACTTCAACTCAAAATCCTCAACCTCGCTGGGCTCTGGGATAGAGGGGAGAGAGGGAAGAGAGAGGAAGCAGGGGCAGGTCCCCCTGCGGTGGGGCCTGGACACCCAGCCTTCGCTGACTTCTCGTCCACGTGCGCCGGGCTGCAGCCAGAGCTGACCCCAGGACACCATGAACCCCTGCCCAGGCCCTTCACTCTGAGGTCTCCTGTCCCAGCCCGCTCCTGCGGGTCACAACCCCTCCCGCAGTCCCTGCCGTACCTATGGTCCCTATGCAGGGTTCCACTTCAATGATATGGCAGTCGCTGATCTTCCCCCACATGTATCTGATGCGGGACTTGCTGTTGTTCCACATCTGAAAGACACACCTCAAACATCAAATCAGTACTTGCGGAAGGACTGGGATTGCGGGCTCACAAAAGGTCCTCTTGACACCCTCCCAGCTAACTCCTGGCCATCCAACGCCACACTGCAGGGTCGTGGGTGCCGGTGCCTCCCAAAGCCCCATGAACACAGGAATGGGGTCCTCAGCCCCGTCGTTTGGAGGACGCTGGGAGGCCGATAAAATGACAGACACGTCCAGCCCAGCACCTCTGTGACCAAAGTGGGTTCAGGGGGCTGGGACTCAACCTCTGTGAGGTGGCCGCCACCCGCCCCTCTGGCCACGTTCTCCTTACACCTGTGCCCAAGTTCAGCACCCTCTCAGCCAGCCTAGGCTGGGGCGGGAGAGTGGCCCACCTTAAAGTCTTTCTTCACACTGATGCCAATGTAGTTCTCCCCCGGGATGATGAGGGCGTACGGTTCTAAGAGAACCTGGAAAGGCTCTGCGGAGCCTTTCACCTCGATTTCCAGGACAATCACATCATCCGTGGTGAAGGAGTTTTCTAGGTCTGAACTGAACACAGAGCCATGATGAGTTAGGAGCCAGCGCAGCCCAGGGCCTGGCCCTGCATGGCCTTGCTTCTGTCCCATGCCTTTGGTCTTGTGAAAAGGAAACACTCCCCCACCCACAGCTCCTAAGCCCCCTGAAATCAGACATGGGCTCTGTTCCCTGCATACTGAACCCATGCCAGGCCTGGGTGCCAGGGCAAGGCTAACGTATTCCCACACGTCACTGCCTCCTGTGGGTCAGGTGGGGGTCAGGTGGCCGGCTCCGCCACCCCCTTCCCGTTGCCTTCCCTTGCATCGCCACGGAGAAGGCAGGCCCCACTACCCACCCTCATCCAGGCCCCAGTCCCTGCTCACCTCGTGGCTTCCGGGACTTCCTCTAGCACCATCTGGAGCACACTGTGAAAGTCCTTCAGCTGCAAGACAAACACAGCGCCCGGAAAACAAACTGCATTGCAGCCAGGCTGCCCCAGGGAAAGGCTGGGGCCTTGGCGCAAGAAAGGCTTGAAAGGTGCAGCTTCTCTGCTACGTCTCCCCGCCAGCTGGGGAAAGGGGTGGCTGCCCAGACTGATGGCTGCCTCCCTCAGCAGGGCTTGGGGGAGGGGAAGGAGAGGCTCTTCCGACCCCAACGCTGTCCTTCATGCCACAGGCACCGCACCCTCCCAGGACAGACAGTGAGGCGGCTGGATGCTGGGTGAGAGGCAGACCCGCTCAGCTCACCAAGGGGGGCCCTCAGCACCCGCCTTCGCCCCCAGCTCTCACGCCCTCTCACCCAGGAGCTGCTAACCTCACCCCCAGGAGCCTGTGCCTCTCTCTCTGGGGGCCGGACAGGACAGGAATGTCCTTGACCTACAGAAGAGCCACAGAAGAACCCAGAGCTGCGGAGGGGAGCGGCGGGTCTTGCCGCGGACGCGGTGTGTGCAGGATCAGGACCAGGCACAATGAGATGTCCTGACAGCAGCACACCTGCCAGCCCCGCCCCAGCTGAGCGTCAGCCCAGCTGTAGCTTCAATGTCACTAAAGAACATGCCCAGAGGGTGAAAATAGTGTGCCCCAATCCTGCGTGTCTCCCAAAATGACACCATCCTGACCTCGTGAGGAGAAAAGCTCAGGATGAACTCGTGGTCCGTGTGGGGGTCAAGGACTCCCCTCTCGGGTGCGATGGAAAAGGCAGTCTCCCTGTCGAGGTGGTACTGGATGCTGTCCATGCTGTAGGCCTCTCCGGGCATCAGGGGCTGCAGGTTGGGCTTCACGATCTGCCAGTGGAAGGCCAGCTCCGCGTGCCTGCGAGGGCAACATTGACCATGGGTCCAAGGTCATGCATGTCTCAGTTCTGTCAAGACCAGGTCCCCTGGCCCTCCGCCTGGCCTGGCCCTGTTCCAGGAGGGACCAGGAAAGGCCCCAAGGGCAGGAAGTGGCCGGGCCAGCCTTCAGGCCCTTCCCAGGGAGGAGCCTGGGGAAGGGACATCATGTGGGTCAGGAAGTCCCAGCTGGAGACCCCCTAAGAGAGCCCCCTCTCCCTTCCCACAGCAGCTGGAAGCTAAGGCCATAGTGACTCAGCAGAAATGGCAAACACAGGGGTTCATGCTCTAACCATTAAACTGCAAAGCTCTGGGCCCCACAGAGCTCAGGAAAGTGTTCTGCGGTGTTTCCCACCACATGAGATTTGCCACGTTGACCCCCGTCCCCACCGGCCACCTCTCCAGCTATGGCCTCCTAGGACCACTCTGGTCGGAAAGGTAGGCGCCCACCGGCGGCCACCAGGAGCTGCGACAGCTTGGCGGCAGGGGGCGGGGCAGGTCTCCAGGTGTGCTGCTGACGGCAGCTGTCGGCGGGGAGGGTGGCAGCCGCACTGCAGTGCATCCGGCCGGCGACAGACGCCTGTGTGAGACCGTGTGGGCTTGGCTGGGAGGCTCCGTGAGGCTGTCCTGGTGTCATGGCGGTGCTCCGAGGATGGTCAGGAAGTAAACGGCAGTGAGGACTGAACCCACAGGCCAGTCTGTCTGACCTTGGCTGGTCTCCCCTCTGGAACTCTCTGGAACACTGTTCCTTGCTAAGGATGGTCCAGAGTGATCTAGAGCAGCACTGTCCCTGGGATGATGGAAATACCATGGCCACTGGCTATATGTGTGGCTTGCAGGTACCTAAATGTGGCTGGTGATGCTGAGCAAGTGAGTTTCAAATTTCATGTAAATTGGTTTCCATTGACATAGCCACATGTGGCTAGTGGCTACCATGGTGGACAGCGTAAATCTGGATCCCTCCGTCTCGTGCCCTGGCTCCCCGCCAGCCCTGGGGAGGAGCCTGCCGCCTCGCTGGGAACTCGGCCAGCTGAGGAAGGAGAAGGGCTCTGTGCCAGGGGCTACTGCGTAGGGGCCACTCACGTAGCGTTCCTAATAATCAGCTGTCTCCTCGCTGTGGACTGAAGGTTTTCAGGCGCAAAGCGTATGAAGTGCTGAGCTGTTAAGTCTGTGAGCTCTCCAGGCTCTGGCTGACTCTTCTCACCAGAAATATAGACCAAATCCAAAGCGATCAGCTGCCCGATTCCTGACAAAAGAAGAAAATGAAGTTTTACTAGGGCTGAAATCAGGACCCTCTGGCCAGAGGCTATTGAGGGGCCATGCTACCATCCACATGCAACTTGATCAGGACCCCAGGAACTGTACACAATAGGAGAACTGGGGGGGTCATTAACACAGTGATTTACATCCCCGCATCTTCATGGACCAAAATGGGGTAATTCTGATAACCCAGTGCATTGCGGGCACTCACTCAATGCTTGCTGAAACTGGGTGGATGGAGGGAGGGAGGGAGGGGTGGGTGGATGGAGGGAGGGAGGGATGGAAGAACAGATGGACAGACAGACGGAAGGAAGCAAGGGTAGATGGGTAGAAGAGAAGAAGGAAGAGAGGAGGGAACAAGGGCATTTGAGGCAGTTCGGCAGGGTGCCCCTCTAACCGCACAGAAACCTACAGGGGCATCTGGTTGTTGATGTGAGAGTCGCTGGCAATCCCCCAAAGGAGATTAAGGTGCCTTTCCAAGTGAAACAATGAAAGACTTCACCCCAGGTTTCCATCTGCCTCTCACTGGAAGGCTCCTTAGGACTGTCCTGAAGGCCACACTGGCTTGGGGCTCCAAGTTCTGACCAGAGCAAGAGGCCCCAAACTAGACCCTGGTGCACGGAGACTGCAGCATCCCCTTGAAGTGCATCTGACGCCAATGCCTGGGCAGCAGCTAATGGAGCCCGGGACCCACGCCGCACCCCAACCCTGCCCCGCCGTCACTCATACAAGCCCACCTGAGGTCACCAGCTCCTTTATCTGGCAGTTGTCGCACGTGACAATGAAGGTCTGCTCTGCCTGTCCGAGGCTCGTGGGGAGAAACAAGACCTGGAGGCAGAAGGCTGCCCTGTTACCTCCCACTCAGGACCTCCACCCCCACCTCCCAGGTTCCTCTCCTCAGACACGCACCCTGCCGTTGCGCTCCACTTTTTCCTCCCTCCCTGCTGGCTCCCCCGCCTTCTTCCTAAGGCCAGGGTTTCAGCTGCCGCCCCAGCCCAGAGAGATGCAGGGGGCACGTCCAAAGGATGCGAAGAGAAAGCTCGCGGGGAGCAACACACAAGTGCCAGAAAACACGTTAAACCTCAGCCATGACAAAAGAAATGGAAGTGGACGCCACCCAGGAGGCCAGGTTTTCGCTCTTTATAGTGGCAAAGAGCAGAAAGCTATCAGAAATGCAATGACCTATCTTGAATTTCTTCAAAAAATCTAGAGGGTTGGGGCGGGGATCAGGTGGGAGAGACGGAGGACTGTCGATGCGGCCGGACTGGCCAAGTGCCCGTGGCCGCTGAAGCTCGGAAATGAGTACGTGGGGAATCTTTACACTCATCTATTCTTGTAGTATTAATATAATCATTACGGTGAACGAGACAATTGAGACTGCAATGTACCATGAAGAAGACACAGGTGGAAAAACATTTTAGAGTGAAAACAGATGCTGGGGACCACCTCCCTGTTGACAATGAAGTTGTGATTTGTGGTGTCAATGCATTGCTGCTGCCCCCTTTGGTATGGAATAGTCAACCTTTCCATCGCTATTATCTTTCTTTATTTTTCTGTTTGAAATGTACAGAGGCTAAAAGATAATTAAAATGAGCTTTAAAAAAAACTCTTCTACGCCTGTATCTGTTTAAAAATATCCAAGATAACAGTTTAAAAAGAAGTTGGATAGCACATTGTATTAGCAGGAAGAGTGTGAGGAAATAGGCGGCTTTGCATGTTGTTGTTGGAAGTGTAACTGTTGCTGTACACACAGTGGAGACTTGGGACACCTGTCACAGTTAGGAGCAGAGGCCCTGAGCCAGCACTTCCACTTCAAGGACCGTCTCCTGCAGACAGACTCGCACTTGAACAGACTGATGGATGGAAAGGCTATTTGCAAAAATAGCCAGAGATCAGAGAAGAATCTTCATGGGCCCCAGGAGGGAACAGCTGAACTAAATTATGGCTCATTCACACAGTGGAATACTACAGCAGCTCTAAAAAATGCGGGAATGATTTCTAAGATATGTCATTGAGTAGAAACACATGGTACAGAACAGAGGACAGAGCGGGCAACTCTCTGTTTGAAGGGAAAATGGAAACAGGAAAGGAAAACTTGCTTATTTAGGCAGCACATATCTCAGGGAAGGCACCCAGAAACCTGGGAAGGTTGCAGCCTCCAGGTGGCTGAGGAAATGGGGTGACGGGGCATTTCACTGTTTGTCTATTTATCTTCGAGTGTTTAAACATGAATGTACTTCTTATTTGGAAATATGAATAAATTTTTTAAACCCCCCCGCAAAAAACAATAAACAGAATACGTCAGGAATGCACCTCTCCCCTCTGGCTTCCTCACTGCCCCCAGGGACTCCCTCTTCCTTTCCTTGGGGGTCACAGACAGTGGGATGCGGGGGACATCCTGGCCTGGTCAGGGGTCAGCAGTCCCAGTTCCTTAAGACCATGGCAGGGCTCTGATGAGAGGGTCCAACCTGCCCTTTGGCTGTGGACGAGGACTGATGAAGCCCTACCACACCCCTGAATTGGCCCTGTCTCACCCCCAAGAGCCAGGTTCATAGGGGCACTCGGGTCGGCACAGACGGGAACAAGCTGGCAACGCCCCAGGGCTCCAGAATAAGACCCCATCTGGCCGTTGAAACCGGAAGGCAGCTGACAAAGGAAGCCCCCTCTGCACCACAACAAAAAAGCTTAGGGCAGCGGTCCTCAGACCACCCACCAGAGCCACCTGGAGAGCTTTAGAGGTTCTGTGCCCACGCCACACCCCCGACCAAGGAACTCAGAATTCCAGGGCTGGGACCCAGGTTCAGAGTGTTTGCAAGTTTTGCAGGGGGCTGCAAAGTGCAGCTGAGTCTGGGAAACTATGGCTCTCGACTCTCCCCGCCCAATGGCCTGGTGCAGGCAAACCCCCGCCCCAGAGACCAGGCCGTATTTACTGTTGAACGTCAGCGGGAGGCCACACGTGCTGGCGGTGGCCCCACAGCCAGCCATACAACAGCACAGACCAGATCCCCAGGGAGTCAGGGAGGGTGACAGGGACAGGAAGGCATCGCCATTTCTCAAAGGCTCCCTGAGCACCAGTGAGCAGGTGTGATGAGCTGAGGAGAGCACTTAGACGGGGCAGTGTGGAAAGGAGGAGGCCACAGTCAGGGGCGCCAGACTGAGAGCTTCTGCAGAGGTTCAGAGGGAGGCCTACGGAAGGCGAGCCTTGTGGGCTATGTAAGTGAGGATAAAACAGGAAAGAGATGGGGGGGCGTGTTCAAGAGAGACTGAAGAACCAACAGAGGATCCCGCAGGCAGTTTAGATGCCGATGAAGGTGAGCACCGGGCTAACAGTGTGGACAAGCAACGGCCAGGGGTCATGGTGGAAAGGCCAGGGCTTTCTGCGCTTGCTTTGTGAGAGGTGACGAGGTGGTCAAATGACAGCACTGCACAGAGCACAAGGATGCGCTCCTACCCAGAAACCTCTAAGGCTGGGACCTGGGACAGGAGTGGATACGCAGGCCATGAAAACACAGAGGCCATGAAGTCGTGCAAGCAGTTGAGGGAAGAGCCGCGGCAAGACCTAATGAGGAGGAAACACATGTCCACGTCTAATTACCTACCTCCACCACGGTGGCCTGTCCCGGAGCCAGCTTAAACACCGAAGGCATGATCCCAAAGGGAGATTGCTCAACAAAGCCAGTGGTTGCAATAGCCTTAGAGGAAAGCAGAAGATTACACAACAGCGTGGAAGGAACTGTAAAACCCGGTGCTCTGTTGGCAAACATCTCTCCTCCCCACACCCATTTTGCAATGTGAAGGATCTTAAGGATCATCCGGCCCCCTGTGAATGAAGAAACTGAGGCTCATTCATTCAGCAAGCATCTACTCAGCCTTCACTAGGCGCCAGAGGAGGCTCTGAGGGTTAAATCTGAGGAGGCCGCAGAGCATCCGTAAAGAGCTGACTGCTGGTAGGAGGTATAAGGCTTCCATGGGCGAGTGTTTCAGACACAAAGCAGGAGGTGTGAGAGAAGGCCTCACACAGGAGGTCAGTTCCCAGGCCTTGGCCCTGTCCCTCCTTCAATGCCCTGCGAGGCGGGTGCCAGCCTCCGCGTCTGCCTCCATCCCCAGTCCACCTCCGTCTATATGCCCCTGAGCCATGAGGGTAGCTGCCAGCTCGTCAGCAGAGCTGCAGCCCAGGGGCCCACACAGGAAGCCACAGAGCAATGCCAGGGACACAAACCCATGCCTGCGGGAGCCTGGCAGGCAACGGAAACGAGGGAAATGTGTCTCTTGGAGCACACGGTCCTGTGGATCTGTCACTTGTTTTCCGGAGACACAGGCACGCAGAACTATCTTTACTGGAAGGAAGACAACGGCGGGGACGTGATGCTGAGGGGTGTGCGTGCCCGGCTGCCGTGGGGACAGGTGGAGCGGGGCAGCAGGGGGAGGTGCACATGTCCCGCTTCCTACTCCAGCCCACAGGGCCGCGGTGAATCCTGGCCCCCGGCTGCGCATCTTCCAGATTTTCCAAAGACACCGGAAATGCTAGCTTGGATGTGACATCTACGGGAGATCTGTAAATGTTGGCTCAAAAAGTGTTTTTCAACTCTGTGCCAACTAAACATGCCCCTAGAATTCGGCCAAACAGCTGCCGATCTGTGACCACTGGTACATTCAAACGTTCGCTACCATAACGACTGACTGAACGGATACATGCAGTGACCGTGACCGAGCCCTTGAAGGATAAGGGAGGTGATGCAACGTGCCCAGCGTCCTGCACGTACTCGTGGTATAACCGGAGCTACAGTGCCGGTCTCCTTCCATACCGATTCTTGCTTGACGGCGGCAGTTGGATGCAGAGGTTACAAAATTCTGTTTTCTCTGTGCTTCCGATCGCAGGTGCACCCTGGCAAGTCCCTCCCAGGGGGCTCTTTCCTTTGAGGGATTTGCTCTTTCTCCAGGCAGCATCCTGGGATCACTCACCCTGAAGCTTGGTGGCGGCCAGCTCTTCTTAGGCATGACACAGAACTTGCCCACACTGAAGCCCACGTTTTTGCAGAAGAATCTGCTTATCTTCATTCCCCCGACAAGGCAGTAACCACAGTCCAACACTGGGGGCACTGCAGCCACAGGGAGAGAAGCACAAGAGACACAGCAGGTCACTGCAAACGGGCCTACGGTCACTGTTCACCTGAGGCCCAACCAGAGTTCCGAGCGGGGCCCCGCCCAGCATCCCGATCAGAGGGGACGAATGGGATGTGCCCTGACCCCGCTCCCGCTCCTGGCTTGAGCAGCAGGACTCAGCACCGACAGTGCACTCAGGCCTCAGGCAGGGCCACTCGGCGTGGCCCTGGGGGTTGCGGTCACAGTCCCAACTTCCAGCTGAAGAGGCTTGTAAGTGAGCGGGCCCAGCCAAAGTCACCTTTCCCAAAGAAGCCCACCCTACAGCCACACAGGAACATGCCCTGGCGGCTCCGGGCACTCCTGCCCCGCCTCAGTGTGACCCAGGCCCACCCAGGGGTGACCACAAGCCAGTGAGGCCCATGCTGGGGTCAGCTGGGCTGCGGCCTGCTCTCTTCCGTGGTGATTCAGTCCGCCTCCCCCGGCAAGCGGGCCAATCGGGCCCCACACTGGAAGGCTGTGGAGACACCACCAGCAGGTCCCTGCTCGGGACCCTGCCAAGCTGTGCGCCACTGCTGCAAAGGGCCCAGAAAGCCAGCAGCGCTTCCAGGGACTGGTGCTCCCTCACGGAGCCCCCGGGAGGGTGGGAGCACACTCACACGTCAGCACCGGGGGCGGCCGCCGGGCCTGCAGCGGGATCAGGAGCGTGTGGGCTGACTGGGTCTCCACTAAAATAAAGTCATCGAAATCCCCAAGGCAGTCGGGGAAAAACTGGACAATGTACTGGCAGATCATTCCAGGAGCCACCATCCCACCTTTTCCTGGGAACATTCCTGTGCGTGACAAAAACGGCAGGTGAGGAGCTGGGGACCAGCCAGCCACTGGGGCTTGGGCTCCAGTGCTACAGGCGGCAACCATAGGGCACGGGCAGGTCCCCCCACGGCTGGGGCTGGCCCTGGGAGCCCATGCCTTCTGGGCCAAGGCCCGACCGATGGCAGAGCCACCAGAGTGTGCCGGGGAAGCAGGCTGCAAGGGCAGGGAGTGCAGGTAAAAGTACCAGGGTGTGGGGGAGGGGTATGTCCATCCAGAATGGTTACGTGATGCCATGCCTGACCCTACGGCTTAGAATTTATTTTGTGGGCAACAGAGAGCCATTTAAGATTCCTGAGCTGGGGTGACACACTAAGCCATTATTGAGAAAAACATGTGACATGGGATGCCACTGTAATGGTTGAAGTGACAGCGTGAAGGGTGAGGAGTTAGCAGAACCAGAGCCTGGAGGGAGGTGGCCCAAGAGAGGAGCTGGTGAGACTCAGAGGCCTCCCTGGAGGGAGGAGCAGGCAGGCCTCCAGCAGAGGGCGAGGCCCCGGGGCTGCTCACGGCCTGAGCGCAGGGCACAGGCTGGGGAGTCATCCGAGGGCCAGCTGGGCCAGGAGCCGGGAGCAGCCCGCCACAGAAGTTTGAGGCCGTCTAGACAAGGGCCATGCAGAGCTCACCCAATCCCAGAGAGAAGTAGGGCGTCGAAGGCGGGAGGACTCGCAGGTAGCGGCTGGTCGAGGTGGTGTTCTGCAGGGAGATGACCATCTGTTCAAAGGAAGGGTGAGCTCTTCGAGACGGCAACGCGGGTGGACGAGTGACACGTGGTCTGGGATTTACTAAATCATACGGGGACGTGGGGATTCATTATGCTAGTCTCTCAGCTTTTGGTGAAAAAAAAATACAAGGTGAACATGAAGGCAGAAACAGTCTGACCGATCTTTGTCCTGTTTGAAGCAACAGCCACCGTGTCTAAAGCACCTGCCAGGTGCCTGCTCAACCTCGCACTAACCAGGAAAGGTGGGAACTATCTAGAGATAGCTCTTTACACTTAAGAAACCAAAGTTCAACGAGGCTCCTTAGCTGCTAAGGAACAGGGTTGAGATTTGAGCCCAGAACACCCGCCTCTTACCTCCTGTCTTTTTCCCCACCTACCCCTTTGGGCCACTTCTTCCTGTGGGCCCAGTGGATGGGTGTTAGGGGCACCTCTATGCCAGGGTTGTAATTGGGCCTGTCTCCTTCACTCAGCCCACCCAGCCCCACTAAGCTCTGCCTTCTCTTCATCCTCAGACTGGGAGACCCTGCAGGGCAAGGCCTGGAACTCGCACCGCCAACTCCCACCAGCCCCCAGCGCAGCGCCTCACACAGACGATCTCAATACATGTACACATCGTTGCTTCTACTTCGTGAGATAGTACGCTGGAAAAATGCACACATTATAACATGCCAGAGGTCCTGTTTCCATCATCTGGCTTATGAAATAAAATATTAAAAATACCGATGAAGCCCTACTCCGGCCCCACCCCACCCCCACACTGGGTAACAGCAACATAAATTTGAACTATATCTTCATAATTTTATTCATAGGTATGTATTCCTAAATCAACATTTAAGTCCACTTTGGGCAGCACAGCACATTGCACTGACCTGCCGGTGAAGCAGATCTAAGTGTGCAGAGGCCCATGTTATGGTTTTAATTTTCCTTCTGTTACTAATGACGATGAGCATCTTTTCATATGTTTATTTGCCATTTGTTTTTCTCCTTGTGAATTGCTGCTCCATGTCCTTTTACCAGTTTGCCATTTGTATGCTTGATCAATTTGTAGGAGTTCATATATTCTGGGTGCTAATTCTTTATCAGGTATGCATTATAAACATCTCCAAGTTTATAACTTGTATTCTCTTTTGATGCTCAGACCTGCGAGGGACTTTTATCAATGTCACCCCCATAAGTCAGCCTCTCCTAGGGCCTTCGGGCCTCTTCCAGTCTGGGCTGGCTGCCTGCTACCACTCCTGTTCGCTATCACCTGTAGCGGTTTTAAAACACGTCCACAAGTTCGTGGGCACCCCTCCCCTCGAGAGGCGAGGTCTATTCATCTTCCCCTGGAATCCGGGCCGACCTGAGCGGCTCACTTGTAACCTTTAATGTGCAGAGATAACCTACTTCTACATAACCTCCAAGGGTAGGTCACCGAAAGTGACGCAACCTCCATCGTGCTTGCTAGGATGCTCACTTAGAAGCCCTGGCGCTCACTTCGAGCTGCCCTGCACGGTCTGCTACCCTGAGGTGGCCGCTCTGTGAGGAAGCCGAGGCCACACGGGGAAGCCGCGTCACCGCTCCGGGTACACAGACTCAGCTGTCTGCTGACTACCAGCATCGACGTCTCCATGGGTGAAAATGCCTCAGAAATTCCAGCCCCCAACTGTCACGTCACCCCCCAGGCACTGACTGTCTCCAGGGACAGGCTCCAACTTGGTGGAACAAGCCATTCCTGCCATGCCCTGTCGGAATTTCTGATCCAAAGAAATCGGTAAGTGTGATAAAATGGTGGTTTTAAGTTATTTAACTTTTAGTAAAATAACTTGTCAATTCCAGTAAGTTATTTGTAGATTCACTTGGATTTTCTGGGTACACAATCATGTCAGCTGTGAATAGTTTTCTTTTTGTAGATACCTTTTATTCCTAGTTTGCTGAAAGTTTTCTAAATATCAGAAACAAGTACTGAATTTTGTCTGCATCTGTTGATAACTACATGACTTCTGTCCCTTATTGTGTTAATGTGACTGACAATGGGGAATTATGATGATTGCCTTTCAAATGTTTAACTTTGCACTGCTAGATCAAACCAATGGCTGTGATGTTTGCCATTTTTATATAGCTGAACTCCGTTTGTTAATGTTTTGTTAAGAAATTCTGCAGTTCTGTTCATGGCTAAGTGTAGCCTTTTTTATAGTAATTCTTTTCAGGTTTTGGTATCAAGATTATGCTCATCTCATAAAACAAGTTTGATTGTGTTAACTTTTTTTCTATTCCCCATAGGAGTCTATAAAAGATTGTTGCATTTCTTCCTCATTTGTTAGAAAAAATTCACTGATAAGGTCATCAGAGGTTGAAGTTTTATTTGTGGGAAGTTTTTTGATTGTTATTTTTTTAGACAGTGCTACGGAGATATACTGCACATGCCATACAATTCGCCCACTTAAAGTGCATAATCCATTGTGGTTTAGTATATTCACAGAGTTGTGCGATCATCACCACAATTTAATTTGAAAACATTACGGGAATGTTTGAAATTACAGGTTCATTGTCATCCTATGGAACTGTTCAGGTGTTTTATGTCTTGTATCTGTTCTGTAAATTTTTTTCCCTGAAAATGTGTCTATTTTGTCTATATTTTCAAACTTCTAGGCATGAATTTTTTCATAAACCTCTTGTCATCTTTCTAATGCCTGTAGGATCTGTGATGATATTTTCTTTTCCCCTGAGATTAATAATTGGTACAGCCCTGGTGGCTGTGGCTCAGCTGGTTGGCGTGTCACCCTGTAACAGAAGGGCTGTAGATTTGATTCCCTGTCAGGGCACATACCTGGGTTGCAGTTTGGATCCCTGATCCGGGCACATATAATCCCTAATCCAAGTGCACGTGGAAGGCAACAGATACTATTCCTCTCTCTCTCTCCCTTCCTCTCTCTCTCCCTCTCTCTCTAAAACCAATGAAAAACTGTCCTTAGGTAAGGATTTTAAAAATAATAATTGGTACACTCTCTTTACTTTTTAATCAGTTTTGTCAGATATTTATTAATTTTATTAATCTTTCACAGAACTAATTTTTGTATTTGCTGATCCTACACTGTATTTGTTTTGTATTTCATTAAAATTTGTTGTTATAATTATGTCCTTCTTTCTAATTTCCTTGGATTTAATTTGCTATTCTTTGCTAATTGTCAAGATGTATACCCACCTAGATAACTGATTTTAAGACTACTTCTTTTCTAATAATTAGTGAACATAAGTCTATACATTATCCTCTAAGCATGGTTTTGGCTGCATCCCACAAGCTTTGATGCACCATTTTTAAATGATCATTATTTTCTATTTTCTAAGTGCCATTATGGGTTCTTTGACTTATGGGTTCAGTAATGAATTGCTTAATTTCCAATTTTTTGTTACTGGTTTCTATATTCAGCCCACTGGGTTCTAACTCTATATGCTTTCAATCCTTTGAAATTTCTTGGTAATTGTTTTGTATCCCAACGCTAGACAATTTTGGTAAATGTTTCATATACTCTTCAAGAAAATGTATATTGCAATTGCTGGGTACAGCATTATATGTAACTCAATTACATACAGTTTATTAATTATATTGTTCAGTTCTTCCATATCTTTACTGATATTTTTATTATCTGCTTTTTAAGTTTTTGAGAATGTTAAAATCTCCTACATGTTTGTTATTATATCTGTTTTTCTTCTAGTTTTATAAAATTTTGCTTACATATTTTGAGGTTAAGTCATTACCATATGTAGATGTTAAATATTTGTATCTTTTAGATCAGTTTTGTAAACCTTTGATCAGTATAAAGTGTCCTTCCTTCCTTCCTTTCTTGCCTTAAAGTCTACTTTCTCTGACATAGCCACATCAGTTTCTTTTGGTTTTGTCTGATATCTTTTTCCATCCTTATATGTTCAATTTCTTTATATCCTTACTTTTAAAGTTATCTCACACAAGCACTATTTAGTTGGTTTTTGTTTTGTTTTTCTACCAATGCTGATGATCCTCCTTCTTTTAACTGGAGCACGTATCCATCTACATTTCATGTAATTACTCAAAAACTTAAGTTTAAATCTATTATCTTTTTATTTTCTATTTGTACTACAAGTTGTGTTCCTTTTCCTCTTTCTTACCATTATTAGAGTAATCAAATATTTTTTAAAATTCCATTCCGCCCTCTATTAGCTTGTTTCTTTTACATTATTTCATTATTTGAATAATGATTAGTCCAAAAATTAAAACAAGTATCCCTGAATTATTAAAGTTTTCGTAAATTAGCACTTATACACAGTCCCAAGACAATCCAAGGATTTTGGAACACTTTATATTGCTTACCACTCTCACTTTTGGATATAGTTGTCATGATTTTAATTCTACATGTATTTTAAATAACATATTATACAACTACAATATTATTATGGTCATTTTTCATGTCCAGCCACATTTCTCTACAACTTTGTCCTTACTGTTGCTTTTCATCCCTTCTTGCATTTCTCTGCTTCCATATGGTATCATTTTCTTCTGCTTGAAGAATTCCTTTGGTGTAGGTCTTCCAGTGATTAATTATTATTATCTGGTAATGATCAATCAGATTTTGTTTATCTGAGAATGTCTTCATTTTTTAAAAGACTGTTTATTTTTAGAGAGGAGAGAAGGGAGAGGGAATGAGGGAGAGAAACATTGATGTGCAAGAGAAATATTGATCGGTTGCCTCTTCACACCCCCAGCTGAGGACCTGGCCCACAACCCAGGCATGTGCCCTGGCTGGGAATTGAACTGGTGACCTTTCAGTTCACAGGTTGGCACTCAGTCCCCTGAGCCACACCAGCCAGGGCTTTATCTCCATTTTTGAAGAATATTTTCACTAGGTTTAGAATTTTAGATCGAAAGCTATTTTTTTTCATCACTTTAAAATTTCCATTCCAATATTTTCTAGTTTCTATCATTGGGTAGAAGGTGGTGAGTCTTTTTTCTCTAGGTGATTTAAGTTTTGTTGTTGTTTTCCCCCTTTCTTTGGTTTAGAGAACAATTTTACTCTAATGTGCCTAGGTAGTTATGGTGGTCTTTTGTTCTTCTTGGGGTTGTCAGTGCTTTACTCTGTGGCTTGATGTCTTTATTACTTTGGGATCATTCTCATCTATTACTTCTTTCAACACTGCTTCTGTCCCATTCTCTCTCTTTCTGAGACTTCAATTATACCATTGCCCTGTATACTGTGTCCCATATTTTGCTAATGCTATCTTCTGTCTTTTCACCATCTTGTTTTCTTTCTGCTTTAGTCTGGATCATTTCTACTTGACCTATCTGCAAGTCTTCTCTTCATCTGTGTCTAATTTGCTGCTAAGCTCTTCTATTGAGTACCTAATTTCAGTTCTGGAATTTTCATTTTTTGTAGATTCCTGTTCTTCAAGTTATCTAGTTACACTATTGCCATAACAGGAAGTCTCCCCAGTATATGTATATTTCTAATGCTCTATTTTGAGATAACATGGAAAAATAATCCAGAGAATTCCCATATACTCTTTGCCCAGCTTCCCTTTATGTTAACATACTACATAACAATGGAACAATGATCTAAACTAAGAAATTAAGCTTGGTGCATGCAATAATTTATCGACTAAACCCCAGAATTCATGTGGACTTTTCCAGTTTGTCCACAAACATCCTTTTTCTGTTCTTGGATCCAATCCAGGATCAAAATTGCATTTGGTTGTCATGTCTTCTTAGTCTTCCCCAAACTGTGACGGCTCTTCAACTTTCCTTGTTTCCTAATGTGTGATGTTTACGTGTGATTGGACTGAGGTTGCATTAGGAACACCACGAAAGCAACGTGCCCTTCTCAGTACATCGCATCCGGGACATATGAAACCAATGTGTCTTATTGGCAGTGATGTTAGTCTTAATCACTGGGTCAAAGTCGTACCTGCCAGGTTCTCCAACTGTACCATTATTATTTTTACTTTGGAATTACTAAATATTTGGAGAGATACAATCATCTGTTTTTGCTGAAACTTTTACCTACTAATTTTAGCATCTATTGGTATGTCCTGCCTGCAGATTTTATTAGTGTGATATTGAATGGTGGTTTGTTTCTCTCACTCTTTCTACACTATAATTAGAATTCTTCCATAACAAAGAATTGTCTGTTCTCTCCCATTTATTTATTTTTTCAGGTATTTACTTGTATCAGAATGGATACATGGATATTTATTTTATTCTTTGGTCTGTACTCTAACACCATCATTGTTTATTTGTTGCTTGAATTGTTCCCACTTTGGCCATTGGGAGCTCTATGTCCTTTTGACATGTTTTCTCTCCATCTCTGTCTCTGAATCCATACTTATATTTCCAACCACAATTTAGCATCATATAGTTTATTCTAGCTTTCTCCCTTTCCTTGTTTATAACTTCTTTCTCCAACAGTGAAGAACCTAATTCTTACTCATATATTTTTTAAATTTAAAGGGTTTTGAGCAGTATTAACACAAGCTTATGAAAAAAAATGATACCCATATGTTCTTCTCTGAAAAGCACTATTTTCTGTATGATTTTCTGTGCACAATGGTGGCTTCTTCCAGCCATGTGTACTCAGATTTTACATAGTCATGATCATTACATCATACTTTGCTTAATTTTAACATTATTTGACATATACTTTCCTATATATTTAACCATTTTGCATGTTTAGCAACATTCTAAAGGAATAAATACCTTACTAACACTTTTATGAACTGTAACTCACCACCTTATCAAAACCTTGAGAAAAATCATACACAGACACACACACATTATTTTTAAAAAGTAAAATAAGGCACCTTCATTTGCTCTCAATTTACCTCACTTAGCAGAGGTAGGCAAGACTGAGAGGTAGACCTGTATTCAATTATCCATGAATTCAGTTGGCACTTATTTACTGAAAGCCCACTACATGCCAAGCACTGATAATGAAAGCACTGATAATGAAATGGTAACATGAACCTAGAAATACTGCTTGCCCTTGTCGGGCTTACTTACAGCCTAGTATAGGGAGGACAAATATAAAATTGTGCCACAAAAGAGCCAATGGTACAAAAAGAGGCTGCAGCAGGGACAAGTAGTCCCATCAGGAAAGGTCGGGGTAACTTCCTAGAGAAGTGACAAGTAAGCAAACTGAGAGGGATGCGCAGTAGACAACGAGGCAAAGACGGAGAGAGGGCTGATCATGCGGTCTGTGCCATGTCGTCCACAGGCGCCCACAGCTGGCACCTTCGAGTCCTGCGTGTAACGGGCTTTCACATGGCCCTGTTTCACCCCCCAGCTGAATCGATCTTATCTCCACATCCTCGCTAACGATTGTTTGTTGATTTATTGATGGTAGCCATTATGACAGGCATGAGGTGATTTATCTCATTGTGGTTTTAATTTGCATCTCTCTGATGATTAGTGACATTGAGCGAATTTTCATATGGCTGTTGGGCATCTGCAAGCCCTCTTTGGAGAAGTGTCTGTTCAGGTTCTCTGCCCGTTTTCTAATTGGATTGTTTGGATTTTGGTGTTGAGTTGTATGAGTTCTTTGTAAATTTTGGATATTAACCCCTTATCAGCTGTATCATTGGCAAATATCTTCTCCCATCCAATGTGTTGTTTTTTCATCTTGTAGATGGTTTTCTTTGCTGTGCAAAAACTTTTTAGTTTTTATAGTCCCATTTGTTTATTTTTTCTTTGACCCCCTTGCCCCAGGAGATATGTCAGAAAAAAATATTGCTAAGAGAAATGTCAGAGAGTTTACTGTCTTTATTTCCTTTCTTAAAAATTTTATTTATTTATTGTATTTTTTCATTACCATTTATCCTCTACTGCCTTTATTTTCTTCTAGGAATTTTATGGCTTCCAGTCTTAATTTAAGTCTTCAACTCATTTTAAGTTTATTCTTATATATGGTGTAAGGGGTCTAGTTTCATTTTTTTGCACGTATCTGTCTAATTTTCCCAATGCCATTTATGGAATAGACTGTCTTTACCCCATTGTATGTCCTTACTTTAAAAACAAAAAAAAAAAACTTGAACAGCAATCTAATCAAACCTCTACACTAACTATAAATTTATGGAAAGTAAAGAGGCTAAAGACACATGTTTAATGTCGCCAAAATAATGTAATTTGCCAAATCCAGATGTAAGAAATTGCAGTTTCTTTAACAAATAAATGGCAATTTGTAAAAGAAGGAGGTAAGGAGGAATTATCAGCTAAAGGAGAAATACGAGATATTTTAACCAAATGTAATATTTGAATTCTGATTCAAAGAAACCAACTGTAAGTTGACTTAGAAAAAAAAAAAGGGAGGAAAAAACAAAGTCAGACATGGATGGATATTAGTTGCTATTAAGGAATCATTAGTATTGCTGGGTATGATAATGGTTATTTCTTTAAAAGTTCTTAGCTGTTAGAGAGACTGGAGTATTTTTTTATTTTTTATTTTTAAAAAATATTTTACTTATTTACTTTTAGAGAGAGGGGAAGGGAAGGAGACAGAGAAGGAGAGAAACATCGTTGTGTGAGAGAGAAACAGTTGCCTCTCACATGCCTCCAACTGGGGACCTGGCCTGCAACCCACGCATGTGCCCTGACCAGAATTGAACCAGCAATTTATCAGTTTGTGGGACTAAGCCCAACCCACAGGGCCACACCAGTGAGGGCGACACACTGAAGTATTAACTAAAAAATGACATGATGTCTAGGTTTTTCCTTAAAATATTTCAATGTACACATGTGTCTCTCTCTCTCTCTCTCACACACACACACACACACACACACACACACACACGAGGAAATTGTGGGGTGATAGAGGAAACCACATTGGTAGACTGGAGTTAACTGTGGACGCTTAGTGGTTGGCACACAGGACTCATTACGGTCTTTTCTTAGTCTTGTATATGGTTTTAGAATTCCATTAAAAAGGCTGTTTTAAAAATTGGGAAGCAGACTGAGTAGGATATATCAAGAAATAAAATTTCTACCTTATAAGCGGATCCAATTTCATAATCTGTGAAAAATCCGACTGGTGGCTTAGCGAGGAACACTGGAGTATCAACACAACTGCGGGAGGGCAAAGGGGGAGAAAGGCTGTTTCATCCGAGTGATGAAATCCCTCATAGTGACTGACTCCTGTGAAATAACACACCCAAGCCCTCACACATATTCACAATATGTCATTTGCTGGGTTTTGTTGTTGTTAAAGCAGGTTTACAAAATAAGTTTACAGCATTATTGAATCTTTGTAAAAATATAGGTGGCTTCGTATTTCATTTTCAATATGCATAGGGAAAACTCTGGACGCCTAAACTCCAAAATGTTAACGCATTTTTACTGGGGACCTGAAAATGGGCACTGTCGGCACTGCTTTTCTTTCTCTCTCTCTCTTTTTTTTTAATTCTCACCAAAAGACATTTTTTTCATTGCTTTTTTAGAGAAGGAGGGAGGGAAAGAGAGAAACATCCCTACGAGTGAGAAGCATCGATTGCTTGCCGCCTTATGCGCACATACAGCGACCATAAGCACGAGGACCGGGGATTGAACCCGCCATCTAGGTATGTACCCTGACTGGGAATCAAACCCACAACCTTCCAGTTACCGGAGGACCCTCCAACCAACTGAGCCACAGCGGCCAGGGCAGGTGCTGCTTTTCTTTGAAATAGTAGTCTTTTCTAGTTTTCTTAATAAAAAGATATTATTTGTCTAATAAAGAAAAGTTGATGGTTTTAAGCCCATTAAAATTATTAACCCATGAAGCAACTCATTTCTTTCTTAAGAACTACTACTGAAATATAGCTAAAGGCACTTTCTTAGAGAAAAATCACAACTTATAATAATTATTTGCGATCAATCAAATTGTAAACATTTTTTTTAAGACACATAAACCGCCATGGAAGGAGCGCATGGCTTGCAGAGATTCCTCCCGTTTGACTCGGACTGTTCAGATGGAAACAGGCTAGCACTGACCCCTGTTCCTCAAGGCTCTGGCAGGTCAGGAAAGCACAAACCCAGGACTCTGGGGATGTCCAAAGGCCACGTCTGCGGGTAGTCCTGGTGCCCTGCTGTGTGCTGATGACGACAGCCTGCCCCTCTACAAAAATCTAGGATCCTTCACAAGCTAGACCAGATCCAGGACCTTCTTGGTTTTACTCCAGAGCAGTGATTTTCAATCTTTTTCCACCTCCTGGCACACAGAAACTAGTTACTAAAATTCTGCCACACACCAAAAAATGTATTTCTTGCCAATCTGACAAAAACATAGGTATCATTTTGATTCATTCACACCAGACGGGTATTGTTTTGTTGGCTGGTCTCATTTCTTTAATTTGACCATCTAAAGGAAAAGAGCTCAGCGTTCCTGACCACAAAGTCAGGTATGGCAGGTCTTAAAAATTCCTGTGGCACGCTGGGTGAAAATCACTGCGCTGAAGGGCCAGGTTTTCTGAGAGTGCAGGTCAGGGAAAGACGCACCTCTCCTCCACCCCGTCTCGCGGGGACTCCCCTACCGGCACTGGCTTCCTCGGAGGAAAGATGAGAGACCTGCCTCCACGTGGAGTGTCAGGTGGGAAAAACCGAGGATTTTTCAGGAAGTGGTTCCGATTCTCCATTCTGGCAAGGAGAAGCCGCTCCCGCTGTCTCTGTGGCACACTTAAATGGCTCGTCCAGTTTTTATTCTTTGGTGGACTTGCTTTCTTTGAAATACAAAAAAAAAAAAAAAACAAAAACAAACGCAGAGTCAATGCCAGGCAGAGAGACTGTGTGTGTTGAGATCTTGGCCAACTGTGGGACCCACAGGCGGCCAATGTCAGCTCTCCTCCCGCCGTGGCTGTGGGTTGGTCACAACTTCCTGTGTCCCCTGGAACTCCTTCCCCTCGTCATCCCCCTTCCCCGCTGCCTCCTCCCCGCTGCCTCCATCTCTGTGCCCAAGCTTCAACACTAACCTTGGCAGTTTCCTTGGTTTTGCATTTGGCCTTTAAAGATGAGTCCTGCGTCAGGCTGTCCACAGTGCAGTCGAACTCGTCTTCAGACCTCATGAGCGTCTCCCTGCAGGAGGCCTCAAGCTTCCTGGTCAGCTCTTTCGGCAGGATGGAACGCTGCTCACAACTGAACGTCAGTTTTAAATACCCAGGGACGAAGTTGCCTATAGCACCAAGGAAACCAGCGGGGTTACCATACCAAGGTGAGGAGGTGGACATTTGTAAGGTGACTAAATAAAATCGCTTAATATCTTGTCCTAAACTTTCACATGTACTGTGAGATATATGTGCTCTTCAGCATATAAATAACTCCTGGGCCTTATTTTATATACCTGAGACTTAGGACTTGAGTGTTAAAATCTTTTGTTTTCAAATATGGTCAAAGGATATGAGTAGACAGACCACTGTCACCCACACATGCGTGTCCATATGTGAACATGCTTTTAAAAAGCTCACACAGGAATCAAAGTTTGTATTAGCTTTTTATGCCTTTAAGATCACCCCCAAAAGGTTTGATGAGAACATTCATTGCTTAGCAAGAATTCAATGAAACTGGTACTGCCATATATTTCTTAGCACAATGCCTGATAAATCCTCAGTACATGTTAATGCCATCCTTCTTTATCGGCATAAGATAGTGGGTTTCCAACTAATCTTAAAATACCAAGTGGCTTAGTATTCCATGACACATGATCTGCTGCCTCTTCCTGGCCTTACTTCTCTCCGCAGCTGGGGCTGTCAGGGGACCCTTCCTGCGTCAGTACACTCCACCCTCTGGGTCGTGATCCTTACCCCCCAGCGCCTTCTCAGCTACAATGCCCAGGGGTCAGCAGAGTCTCACAGACCAGGCCTGCTGGGGGACTCTCCTTCTGAGCGTGGCACCAGGAAGCCATCCCGATGTTTGGCCACAAAATCCACAGTGACTCCTCCAAAAAACTCCCTCCCTGCTTAAGCCCACAACCCAGCTTCCCATCCCACTCATTGTAGAAGATTCTGCCTCCCACATCACAGGAAAGTAGCTAGATGCCTCTCTCTCCACCCCTCTCCTCGCTCCCTCCCCCGAACCACACACCCTTCTCTGCCTTCCTACCCAATCTCCTCTCCATACTCAAAGGGCAAAAAATTGTTCCGGTCCTGGATGAGGTATGGGAAACCCCTAGACCATGCTCTGACTCCATCAGGAAATGCTCCCTTGCTTATCGATGTCTTCACTGAAATACATATGGTTTCTGTATTTGGTCTGGTCTTATGGTTCATTCCAATGTAGTTCTAAACACTTTCATATCTCTTGGCGCATCATATTCCACAACAAAGAGCTGGGACTTTTGTCCTGCCGGTAGCAGGGAGCGAGCGAGGAAGTGGCATGCTCATATTTCAGCCTCCCCAGAGTCACTATCAAAATTAAAGAAAAGCGGGGAGGAGGGGGGAAACTGAAAAAGGACATGGCAGCAAAGGTGGTCCTGCTAGTCAAGAGTCTCCCTGGGATGACATCGGAGGCTCAAGGAGAGTACAAAGCATTACCTTTCGGTGCAGAGCAAAATGGCACCATATCACTGAAGTAATCGTCCGGGCAGATCAGATGATGTTTCTGTAGCAGCTTGTTGTCCACGCACCACCTGAAGACACTCTCCACTGCAGAGGAGAGAACGAGGACAAAGGTGTTTTAAAGCCAGACCAACACTGAAGAAGCGACACCCAAACTCTCTTCACCCTCTGAGCCTAAGCCAACTAACGAACTTCTTTCTCAGAACCCGGAGGTAATTTTGAGATTCAAGAAACTAATTAGCAAATGTTTCCCAGCCACTTAAAAGAGGACAGCCGTCGGGCAAGGCTGTGTTGCGGCACTGCTTGAGGTAAACTAGTGTTACTCACAGAAAGATCTCTAACAAAACAGCATTAAGAGAAGTGTGGTAGATTGAATAAATGGGCCACAATTCTTCACCCGTCTCTGTATGCGTGTCCTTTGCCACGTGACTCTTGTTACTGGAGACAGAGTGTGCTTCTTCACTCTTGACTTTGGCCATGTGATTGAGGTGCTTCGGCTAATGAGATGTTGGCAGGGGGTTGCAATGTGCTTGTTCAGATGAGCTTTGCCCGTTCTGTACCTTTGCCGTCAACACAATGGTGAGTGGAAGATTTGGAAGTTTTCAAACTTTGTTGCTCACTCCAGTAACCGACATGGTGACTTTAAAGGGTTTCTCTTGTTGAAGGTTCCCTTGTCTCGTCAAGGGTGTAGGTGAGACACGTGAAGAATACATGTTTTTCCCCTCATAGGAGGGGGGGTCCCCCAAAACGGAATTTATTTATTAAAAATTGTGTATTTATTCTTACATGTTTAAACTTCAGCCCCGTTCAAAGTACTCTCCGTCTGATGCAATACACCTATCAAGACTTTTTTCCCACTGCTCACAACTATGAACTTGTTGATGTTGATGCCTTTTAGTGCTTCTGCTGTTTGTTTTACCTGTTCCATATCAGCAAAACGTTTCCCATGAAGGCCTTTATTCATTCAGGGAAACAATAAAAGTCACTTGGGGTGAGATCAGGTGAATAGGAAGGGCACAGAGGTCATGCTATTTTTGGTCAAAAACCACTGAACAATCAGCATGGTGTGGGCAGGTGCTCTTGTAAATCACCCATCATGAAATGAACAAGTGCGTTGAGTCTTCAAAAAAAAATTCCCTGAAGCCGAACACAGCCTCTCACAACAACGCCAGCTGGTACACTGATGCAGATGGGTTCCTAGAACTCTCACCCAGCAGAAGAAGCCTGTGCTACAAGGGGCCCGCCCTCCAGAAGATAATTGTTTTCTTCGGGTGGAGATCTCCCCTTGTATGTTAATTGGGGGATTTTGAGATTTGGCCGAGGTGCTGGAATAGTTGGGTTTGGTCAAGAAAACAGAAATTACTCTACATATATCACATATGAAAGGTTGGTTTGGATGCAGAGGAATTGTGGAGTGGAAGAAAGTCAGGGAACCGTCATTAACAAGTTCAGCCAGCTTGGCTCATAACTTGGGAAGTTATCAGGAAGCCGCTGCGAAATTCACAGCTGCTCAGCCATCTGCCCAATACTGCTTCTTGAGGACAGTGGCTCCCCTCCCATGGGCCTCTCCTCAGCCACCTACCCTGGACCCATCGGGAAAAGTACGTTCTGGGAAATGCACTCGCTGGCCTCTCCTTTGCAACACAGAGACCTCAGCAGGGAGTGGCAGCAATGTCAAGTTGACACAGTCTAGCCCAGTTCTCAAAGACTGTGGCCATGGCCTATTGGAAACATTACAAGACCAAACTTTCATACAAAGGGCAAAGGCCATGTGGGAAGGAGATGTAACCTCTCCCTGCTGACACCTTTCTCTCTACAGTCCTCTCCCAGGGTGTGGGTGGTTGATTAGGTGTTACTTAGAACCAGGAAACAGTTGGTTTATGTGAACTGTAGAAAGTCTCTCTCCACTTCAGGCCTGGACTCTGCACCAGGTGAGCCTCGGAAACCCCTGAGCTGGCCTTGCAACCATCACGCTCCACCTGGGAACGGTGGCCTCCCACGCTGGCCCTGTGCTCCTGAGCTCTGCGGGGCCAGGCCTTCGATCCCCAGAAGATAACGTGGACAATTTGCCAGCAAGGGCAGAGAATGGAAGCACGAGATGTTCTGCAGAATTCTGACTCTTTTCCCTCTGCCTGGGAGACATTTGCGGACGTTTTCCACCCTGTGACATTGATGTTAGCAAACAAAGGCTGCCTCTGGGCCTCCGGAAAAGGTTCAGGGGGATGTCCTCACATCACTCATCTCAGTTAAGAGGTTCGTGGGTCACCTGGCCCCACACTGAGAAAAAGGGCCCAGAGGCATGTCCAGGGAACTGGATTAAGGTCTCTACTTCAGCTACTTTTGAAATAAAAAAGAAACATTACCAGCAGAAGGCTGAGAAACCAGGGTAGAAAATATTTGACAGAACTTAATATTATTCTGAGTAAAAAATAAAATGAAGGTCACTGAGAAATTCTCCTGATGTTTGTTTCCCAGTTCTCAATATTTTAACTTTCTTTAAAAAAAAAAAAACAAAAAAAAATGCACCTGCGCGCAGACACACGCGCGCACGCACACACACACACACCCCCCCAAAAACCCCAATCAATTATTTAATCTCCCCTGATCTCTAACCAAATAATCCTACCAAAGATGGGGACACAGGGACAGTGTCTGACTCCCAAGCCTTGGGCAACAGGAGGCAATTAATCAAACCTCCTGAAAATCTCTACTAACCAAAAATCTCTGCCTAAATCCATGGTGGAGGGAGGGACTCCAGGAGCGACAATGACCTGGCTGCAGAGGAGTGGAAAGAGGACTCTGCTGGGCATGTGCTATCCAATGGGACCTGAGCCCCAGACGTGGCCAGGGCCTCCTGCTCAGCGGCACACCATAGGGAACATTATATAACCTAGCGTGACCTGTGCTTGGTTGTTGGTCCTTCCTCCTCCTCCGGGTATGAGTAAGAGGTGGGGGCCCTGACATCAGACACACTCAAGTTCAAATCGGGGCCCCAGCCTTTCTGAGCTGTGGGAATTAAGGGATTTATTTGATCCTCTCTCTGAGTTCTGTTCCCAACCCTATAAAATGGACAGAAACCCACCTCACAGAATCACTGGAAGGGTTCAGTGGGATAACCTGTGCAAAGCATCCTATGCAGCATCTGGTCCCTAAAAGGTCCCATGAGCGTAATGCCTTTCTAAGCCACTATACCTTCCACTTCTCCCTCCCTCTAGGCCACAGGTATGTCAGGCCTCCCAACCCCAAAAGGACCGTCCCTTCTGCCTACTGCACAGGAAATAGTGATTTTCAGGGACACAGGAGGATAGATCAAAGTTTGCAGGGGAAGTAAAAGGAACCAGGGCTTCTTACAGGCATGGCTGATTCCAGGTCTGGGGCAGTAAATACACAAGATGAACCTAGAACATCCAATCATTCCAAAAGGTAAGGAAGTTGTCAAAGACCATGTTGTGTCAAAGAGTTAGGAGTCAACTTGAAAAGGCTCAAATCGGCCAAAGAAGGGACAACTGGAGCATCAAAAAGGACAATAAATATAATTGTAGTTATGAAATTCATGAGTTCATAATGATTTTAAAACAAACTAAATAAACCTTATTAGTTGTGTTTGAAAGATGCCACTGGCACCAACTCATTTTAAAAGGAGGCAAGTCAGAGGAAAGAACTAATCCTGCTCCTACCTTGGAGCAGGTTCTCTCCTCCACCTTCTCGACCAACTAGACCACCTTCTTACACCACATTCAAAGTAGTTGCTGAAAAGTTTGTCTTTATGGAAGTGGTCTAGTACCACTGGCGGTTCATTATAATTCACAAACCCAGTGAAGGAACAGATCCAGGCAAAGGCTGCCAGAGTCAGGAAAAGTGAGACATCACAGATCATGTACCTCTTGAAGGAAGCACATGACACCACCTGCGAAGTGGCCTTGCCCATATCCATCCACACCCTCCCCCCGACCAGGCAAAGAAAAATTGAACCTCAACCTTATTAAGTCTCTAGAAGGAATTACTCAATTGCAGGAAATACAGGGATCATGAGAACAGGTTAAACGGCACCCCAAAGTTGAAATCAGCACAACCAGACGGTAGTCAAGTCTATAGGAAAAAATAGCACAATGTCTTTAACACACACATTGATTAAAGAAAGTGTCGCCACAGTGGTGGCTGGCTGAGGAAGCTTTCCGGGGATGCTGCTGGTGCGGTGACGGAGCTTTGATGAGGAACTGGATATTGGTGAAATCTGAGAACACCTCTCCACAAAATCCTAATAAACTACAATTTAACTGGAGAACTGAATGTGGAGAACCTCCAGCAGACACTAACCTCCCCAGGTGACCAAGGTTAACATCACCTGTGCCTCCACATGGGCCACAGCGAGGAGAGCACAGCGTAATTTATGCGGTGGTGCTGCCCAAAATGAGTCTGAGTCTCGTCATGATGAAGCATTAGAACTACCCTACAGAATGAAAGGCCTGTCAAGAACTGTCGAGGGAGGAAATTCTGGGAGGAAGCGGAGTAGGAAGTGCCAGAAATCTGTCTCTTCACCTAGACAACAACTGTCCTGGCAGTCAGTCTAATGTAACAGTTCCATTTGGAACTCTGGAATTTATTGAAGGCTTGTAACTTCCAGGCAAAGCCTTGGACAGCACATCGCGGTTCACTTCGGCCCCTAGCACAGGAGTGCTTGCCCACCCCTCACCTCTAGTCCCAGAGCAGGCCTCTGTGCACATGTTTCTGGGGCAACCTGCAGACGGTTTGTGGGAACCTGGGTGAACGAAAAGGACCCTGCCCTCCAAAAATGTGGGACGCGTGCTCTGATTGCTGGTTACAGCGTCGATCGCAGAGGTGAGGACAAAGAGGCGGCCGCCGCTGCTGTTGAACCTCCTGTCGCTGTGGCAAACCTCCCTCCTCCAGCTGAAGTGACTTCCAGCGAATTTAAAAGGCTGGCACCTTTATTTCACCTCCTCTTCTTTCTCTTTTTTCCTTTATGGGAGCCAGGTGTTAAATGCTATGACATTCAAAAACAACTGGATATTTGGGGGAAATCGAAGTATGATTGCGCATGCCCAAGAAAAGGCTAAGACCCGAGAAGACTTTAAGTTTATACCTTAGGCTGGCCCTCGGCACCTATAGCCTATGATAATTCAAAAACAAAATAAAACAAAACAGAAACAGCCCTGGCTGGTGTGGCTCAGTGGACTGAGTGCTGGCCCCTGAACTGAGAGGTCGCTGGTTCGATTCCCAGTCAGGGCCCAGGCCTGGGTGGCAGGCCAGGTCCCCAGTAGGGGGCGCATGAGAGGCAGCCAATCGATGTTATCTCTCACACATCGAGGTTTCTCTCCTTTTCTCCCTGCCTTCCTCTCTCTCAAATAAATAAATAAAATAAATAAATAAAATCATTTAAAAATAATTTTTAAAAAACAGACACAAAAAACAACAAACTCTGTGGGATGCAGGGTTGGTACAATATCCACAAATCAATTGACATGATATACCACATAAACAAAGTGAAGGATAAAAACATGATTATATCAAAAGATTCAAAAAAAGCATTTGACAAAAGCCAGCACCCATTTATGATTAAAAACAAAACAAAACAAAAAAAAACACCTCTCAGCAAAGTGGGAATAGATGGAAAGCACCTAAACATAATAAAGGTCATATATGACAAACCCATAGTTAACATCATATTCAACTAGTAAAAACTACAAGCGTTCCCCTTAAAATCAGGAACAAGACAGGATGCTTGCTTTCACCTCTCTTATTCAACATAGTACTGCAAGTCCTGGCCATAACAATTGGGCAAGAAGAAATAAAAGGCAAAGGAAGGGAAAGTAATAAGTAAAACTATCGTTATTACAGATGACATCATACTGTATATGAAGAACCCTAAAAATTCCACCAAAAAATTATTAGAACTGACAAATGAACTCAGTAAAATGGCAAGATACAAAGTAAATATTCAGAAATCAGTCATATTTTTATACACCAAAAATGAACTATCAGAAGGGGAAACTAAGAAAGCAATCCCTTTTATAATTGCATTAAAAAAAAGACCTAGGAATAAACTTAACCAAAGATGTAAAAAAACTTGGATTTCGAAAATTATAAAACACCAAGGAAACAAAATGAAGAAGATATAAATAAATGGAAGCATATACTGTGCTCATGGATAGGAAGAATTAACATCATTAAAATGTCTATACTACCTAAAGCAATCTATAGATTCAATGCAATTCCTATCAAAATACCAAAGCCCTTTTTCACAGAACTAGAATAATCCAAAAATTTATATGGCACCACAAAAGACCCCTCATAGTCAAAGCAATCTCAACAAAGAAGAACAACATTAGAAGTGTCATGCTATATGACATCAAACCACACTACAGTTTTAGCAATCAAAGCAGCATGGTACTGGCATAAAATAGACACATAAATCAATGGAAGAATAGAGAACCCAGAAATGAACCCATGGTCAATTAATATATGACAAAGGAGACAAGAACATACAACGGGGTAAAGATGGTCTATTTAATAAGCGGTGTTGGGAAAATTGGACAGGTACATGCAAAAATCAAAACTAGACCACCTTCTTACACCACATACAACAATAGACTCACAATGGATTTAACTCAAAACCATGAAACTCTTAGAAGAAAACATAGGCAGTAAAATCTCTGACATTCCTCTTAGTGATATTTTTTTCTGACACATCTCCTTGGACAAGGAAAACAAAAGAAAAAAATAAACATATGGGACCAAATCAAGCTAAATATTTTTTGCAGAACAAAGGAAATCATTAACAAAGCAAGAAGACACCCTACTGAATGGGAGAAGATATTCGCCAATGATGCATCTCCTAAGGGGTTAATACCAAACATTTACAAAGAACTCATACAACTTGACACTAACATATGCTACAACATGGATGGACCTCAAGGACGTTTTGATAAGTGAAACAAGCCAGTTGGAAGAAAGACAAATACTGTATGACTCCCCTAATCTGAGGTGCTTACAGTAGTCAACATCCCAGAGACAGAAAGTAAAATGGTAGTTGCCAGGGGTTGTGGTAGAGGGGAATGGGGAGTTCCTGTTTAATAGATAGGAAGTTCCAGTTTTACTAAATGAAAAGAGTTACAGAGATGAATGGAGGTGATGGTTATACATTAGAATGTATTTAACACCAACCATTGAACTGTACACTTCAGAATGGTTAAGACGGTAAAAAAAACAAAAACAAAAAAAGAACACCAAAACTGTTCCAGTCAAAACATGAAAGACAGGAAAACCTCAAAGCATTGTTCCAAATGAAAAGTCTGAAAAAAGAGAGACAGGACAATTATATGCAACGTGACTTCCTAGACAGGATCCTGGACCAGAGAGGAGAGTGAGTCACTGTGAGGCAGCTGGTGAAATGTGCATGGAATCTGTGAACTGGAGATCAATGTCACACCAGGGCTGGTTTCTTGGCTGGGAGGGTGGTATGCTGGTTACATAGGTGGGTGTCTCTGTTTTGGAGACATGCGCACTGGCGTGTTTTATAGTAATGAAACATCACATTTGCAACTTGCTGTCCAAACATTCAGATACAGACTAGAGAGTGTGCAATGGAGCAAATACAGTAATATACTCAGAGCTGGGGAATCAGGGTGAAAGGCATACGGAGGTTCTTCATACACACCTGGGGGCATCTTGATGAAGCGCTCAAGGTCCTGTACTTTGGCCTGGTGCATGGCCCGCTCTTTCTCCGCAAGGGCCCGTGCACTGGCCTGAATGATGTGTCTCTCCAACATTTCAAACTCATCCAACCGCTGCTTATAGAGCTCCCGAACCTGGCAGGAGGGCGATCAAATGCACCGAAGTATGAGATCACATAGCTTTACTCAACCTCACCCCAGCATCAGGGAGGGCTTCCTGTGAAGCCTAGAACAGTCAGTCACAGAATTAGAGACCATCGGGTTCAGCCTGACGTATGTGAAAACTGAGACCAACAGAGGAAAATGGCTCAAAGGTTTCATGGGAAAGTCAGTACCAGAGGCAAGCTGCAAACCTTGTCTCCTGATTTCCTCTAAGAGAGCTGTGATCCAAACTCTGAAATACCAAAGACAAGTTAGCACCCCACTGTGGTAGGCAGAGGGTTGTGCCAGGCTGCGCCCTCTCCAAAGAAGAACTTGCTACGGGGCTACAGGGAATGTAGCGGGAGCAACGGAGCAGCGACTCCGGGGGCCAGCCCTTCCGAGTTATCTGAGTGGCTTGAAAGAGCTCAGCTGAGCCTCCGTTTAGCGAGTGTCAGCAGCGCGGTGCCGCAGGCAGAGCCAGCAGGGAGAACTCAAGGCAGCTGCTCTCCTCCTTGCCCAGATGAGGAAGCAGAGCTGCTGTTCCAGAGACGGGGCGTGGCTCCTAAAATCCAGGGAGGTTTGCGGCGGCTAAGATTGTGGCTTGCCGTACTAAGGCAGGGACCGCCGAGGCGGGGGCGCAGGGATGACTTTTAGCTTTATCTCCAAAGAACAGCGATTCCGCTCTCTGGCCTAGTCGCTTTATTTATATACACAATACTGGCATATCTCGTTTTATTGCACATCGCAGGTGTGTTTTTTTGTTTGTTTTGCTTTTTACTTTTTACCAATTAAAGGCAAGACCTTCTACCAGTAAAAGGATTACCACTCGCTTGATTATGGTGATCTGGAACCAAACCCGCAGAATCTCCTAGGTATGCCTGTTTATAATGTGTATATGTGTGCAGAGAAATAAAGATAGGTGTTAGAGATACAGGCACTATGTTTGTCGTCTGTGTTTGTATAAGCGTGTGTTCCGAGTGTCCTTCCACTAAAATGTCGAATACACGGCGGCAGGGACTTAGCTTTTTCCCAGCTGCAACCCCCGGTGCCTGCAACAGCGCCTGGCACCCAGCAGGTGCTGACGGTTGCCGAGCAGCGGAGTACTGCAGGAGCCCGCCTTTGCGCGGGCGTGCCCAGGGTCCCCCGCACTGTCTGCAGGCGCGACGGCCCCGCGCCCCCAGAGAGCACTGGTAGGAAGCGCGCGGGGGCGCCGGGCCGCGTTACCTGCTGCAGCTCGTCCACGAACTTCTCGTGGAGCGCATCCTCGCTGCCGCGGGCCTTGATCAAACTTGTGCTCACGTCTTCGCCGATCACCTCGGTCGTGTACAAATTTCGGAAGACGCCAGTGAGCAAGTGCGAGATGTCTTGGGTGCGCAGCGAGGTGGGGCGTAGACGCAACAGTTGCGGCTCGGAGAGCGGCGGGAGCGCAAGAGGAGAGAAGCGGCGGGGCCGACTCCTCAAGCCGTAATGGGAAGTCTCGGGGTAGGCCAGGGAGGACAGCGTGGACCGGCTGGGGCTGCGGGTCTCGGCCAGAGGCGAGGATGGAGTCCACGTTGCCTCGGCGAACGAGTAGGACCCAGACTGGGTCGAAAGGCGGTTCCTGGCTTGTCCAGTCTCCATGGCAACTAAAAAATGCAGCTTACTTCCCGCCTCACTTCCGTTTTTTGCCCCGCCTTTTCCGCTTTTTACCTTTCCGCCCCCTTCCCCTTCCACGGCGTCATCGGTGTCGTCATCATCGTAAATCTGCGCATCATGAACGTCACCTGTATTCAGGTGAGTTTAGTAGAGAAAAGGTTGGGGGAGCTCAATGGAGAAATTGTTGACTGGCACAGGCAGGGCAGTCTGATTGCAAAACCTGGTACCTAACTACCTGTCTTCATCCGTCCATTTTCTAATTTATTAAACAATCATTAATTCGCTCATTTAACATTTATTGTATAGATTCTGTTTCAGGTCTGTGCTGGGAGCTGGAGATACCAAAAGGAAGTAAGATGTTGCTTCTGCCCTCAGGTAGCTCACTATGTGTGTTCGTGTGTGCTCGGTATGTGTGTGTGTGTGTGTGAGAGAGAGAGAGAGAGAGAGAGAGAGAGAGAGAGAGAGAGAGAGAGAGAGAATCAGAATGGTCAGGGTGGTGAGCCAGGTGGGAACAGGAAAACAATTACAATTTAGTGGACTAAGGCTAAAGTATAGATAAATGTTGGTGGTCATGGAACCGCAAAGGACCGGAACTTAATCCGTCTATAGAGAGGGTGTGAACAGTGGCTTTTTGGAAGACCAAGCAGAGATTTAAAAGAATGAGTAGATTCACCATTAGTAAAGGAAGTGGAAATTAAAATCACAGTGTGAAAGCACTACACACAAGTAGAATGTGCAATCAATCAATCAATAAATCAATAAAAACAAATGAACCAACCACCCAGAGCTGATGAGGATGTGGAGCAAATCAAGTTCTCGAGTTCTTATATAGTGCAGTGGGAATGTGAACTAGTATGGTAGCTCTGGAAAACAGTTTGGCAGTTTCTTTCAAAGTTATACAGAAAGCAGTCCCATTCTTAGGTATTTTCCCAAGTGAATTGAAAACTTAGGGGCACACAAAACCCCTTATGCAAATGTTTGAGACAGCTTTATTCATAATCTCAAAAAACTGGGAAAAAACCCAAAAAACAAAACACAAATGTCTCACCCACTGGTGAAAGTATAAATAAATTGTAGTACATCTATACAATGGACTACTCTCAACAATAAAGAGGAAACATACTATTGATAACACACAACAGCATAGATGATTATCAAATACCCTATGCTGGGTAAAAGAAACCATTCTCAACAGGCTATGTGTACTGACTAATTCCATTTATAGGACATGCTGGAAAATTCAAAACAGAAAATAGGACGAGGGTGGTTAGGTGCTGGTAATAAGATTAGTGTTGGCTCCAAAGGAGCATGAAGGGATTACTTGGGGATAATGGAAATGTTTTATAGCTTGATTCTAGTGGTGGTTACAAAACTGTATGGGTTTGTCAAATCTCATGGACCTGTGCACTATAAAGGGTGAATTCTACTCTCTAGAAACTATACTCCACTTGTTTTATGTGAAACAAATAAGGATGAGCAGGAGAAAGCCAGGAGGGAAGGGAAAAGGGGACTCCGTGCAGGAGGTCCCCACTGTGCAAAAGCAGGGAGAGAGCACCGCATGGGGGAGAACATAAAAGGTGCTCAGCAGTGGCATTGATTAGAGATAGATCTAAACAGTAGAATGGACAAGACTCGCTGATTGCTAATGCTAATGGGAGTGAGAGAGAAGAGGGGTCAGGAATGACTCCCAGATATTCTGTAGTGCAAGAGGTGGGTACTTACGTTATCCACTGAAATGCTCGGGAAGGGGCTACTCTTGGCCGGGGCAGCCGTTTGACATCACATGGGCTGTCATGATTGGCACAGTATGGCTTCTGCTCGCAGGCAATACAACTCACCACTTTTTACTCCTGGGGTGAGCCTGCGTGCCTTACAGCCTGAAACCCACTTCCTGTGATGAGCCCCCGGATGCTTGCCCACAGACCTGGCCCACTTCCGCTTCTCTTGATTGGGCCCAGCTGTTTCATCTGTCTTTTCTAGTAATTTATCTTCAGAATTGGCCATCTAGGGCCCCTGCCCTAGACTGTGTATTTGAGAGGACCCTGCTCTGGCTGCACCCTTCTCTAGAGTGAGGAGACCACTAGGCCAAGGTAACATGCCCCATGCCTGCCCTCTAAGTACCTGGGACCCCAGCATTATTTGCCCAGAAGTCCTGAGCCATGGACAGGGCCTATGTAGGCCTTCCTCCCATTGCTGACTGGTGTTTGCACTAAGGGGTAGCTTTGGTGGGAGGCAGAGGGAGCTTGTGCAAGTGAGCTGGTTTGTCCAATCATCTACATGCATGCAAGTTCCCCAGGAGCTATGTGTGGCGAGAGGGGTGGAACCGTATAGGAGCCTCCACTGCGCTAACATTAGGAGTAGACCTGCCCAAACTGGGTGGTCTTGTCAGCTAGGAGCCCTTCTGCTTATGGAGGCTCCCTGGCCCCCTTCCGTGTCACAGGGAACGACAGGACAATGAATTCTTGCCATCACTTGTGGCCTCTCCATTCTGCCTCCAGACAGCCACAGAGTAGGACACAGGGAATCCAACGCAGCCAGGGAGGGGTCTCCCCTTTTTCTGACCCCTCCACTCTCTGGTTTCAGTCCCCTCTGCTCTGTCCAGCAAACCTTCAATTCCTCCAACAACAGTGGCTACTCCGCGGCCTCATCTTCCTTGACTTTCCAGGGTATCTGCTGCTGTGTGTTCCCTTAATGATACACCCTTTTCCTTTGCTTTCCCCTTTCCTCTGTGCTTCCCATCTCCACTCTCTTCTCCGTCTTCTCTCAGTGTCTTTCTGCCTGATCAGTGGATTCATCCCTGATCCCACTGTGCCCAGCATTCAATTTGTTTGTTCTCTGACTAACCAAATGAATGAATAGGTGGAACCCTGTGCAGTAAAAAAGTGCTTGGGACACCTTTGAACCACGTGCCAGCCCCTCCCCTGTGAGGAATTCAGCAGCACCCAGAGGATTCTTGAGCTGCCTTCTTCATTTTGTAACCTACGCTGCTGACCCAAATTTTTGTTTATCTCTGGGTTTCCACGCACATTGTTTGATCTTTAAAAATTTTTTTTTACTTTTAAAATTCAAAAGTTACATATCATCATGGTAAAAAAATATATAGTGCATCAAGAACAAAAAGGGTCTTCCTCTCAATCTCTTTCCTTGGACCAGTTCTGTATCCCTCCAGCTATTTTTTTCTGTACATATATTATATGTAGTCCAGCCATTTGCTTTCTTTCACTTATGTTCTACAGCAACTCACAGAAGACGTTTTTGTTTTTTGTTTTTAAAACAGATGCAAGGGAACCCAATATATGGAAATGTAAGTTATTCAACCAGGTCCCTGTTAATGAACGCTACCTTGTACAGTGTTTCTGTATATAATATGCAGATAATATCATAGATTAGATAATACTCTAATATCCTAGAGTTAGAATTGCTTGGCCAAAGGGTATGCACATTTTAATCAGCCGCGCAGGAGGCCTCCTTGCCGGTTCTCCAACGTGCGTGCCCCTTCGGCCGCAGGGCCCAGCACCGCCCAGACTCCTCCGCCGCAGATGCCTCCAGACGGCCTGCTCCCTTTTCCATGTTTCTGCTCCAGTGTCCCTTTCCCCAGAAGACCCAGCCTGGCCAACCTATTTAAATTTTAACCCTCTCCCATTCCTAAATTCCCTTACTCTATTTTCTAAATAGCCTTTATGCCTAATATGCTAAGCAATTTACTTAATGTTTGTTGCAGTGTCTCTTTTCTTTCCATTAGAATTTAAGCTTCAGTCTATGGCCATACCACCCTGAACGTAGCCGATGTCGTCTGATCTCGGAAGCTAAGCAGGGTTGGGCCTGGTTAGTGCTTGGCTGGGAGAATAAGCCTCATGAGGCAGGGTTTTGGAACGTGTTGTTTGTTGATGATTCCCAAGCCTCTGGAACAGTGCATGGCACAAAGTAGGTCCTCAATAAATATTTGTCGAATAAAGCAAAGAGCAGAACAGTTTTCAGACTGGAGTTTCAGTTCTTCTTCAGTTTGCACATCCGTAAGTGTGCGTCGTCCCTTGGGGCTGTGCCGCCTCCCACCGATGAGGGTCTGAGGGCCAGGCTCTCCACTGTCCCCCCACACCAGGCACTAGACTCTACCTGTGGGGTGGGATCGGGTGGGAGTGAGTGCTGGAACTTAGTCCGAAGTGAAGTAAACATCACAGCTACATTTACAAATGAATGCAATAAAATCCCACAAGCATAATTTTAGAAAAGTAACCCCAAATTGTCCCATACTGTCCTGGGGTTACCCACCGACCCAGGACCCTGTGGTCAGTAGTGTCCTCCCGGCGTGGTCTGAGTGTCCTCACTTCGCCACAGCTACTCCCTTGGGAGAGGCAGCCTTTACTTTTCCTCCTGATGCATCTGGACTTGGGTCCCGAAGCCGCTGGAGAGAGCTCCCATGGGGTTTTCCAGCCTTCACAAACACTGGGTGCGCCCTTGGACCGGGAGCCACAGGCTGGAGGGCTCTGACCACAGGGATCAGTAGAGAAGGCCAGCTGCGGGGGGAGGGGCTTCTGGTGCACATCTGTCCAGCCGGCATTTATTCAGACCGGATAGTCAACATCTGTTATTTCGCTGATTCCGACGAGGACTGCGCCTCCCGACTGTGGAGCTCCCAGATGTGATGGGACTTGCCCAAGGTCTCAAAGCAGGAAACAGCAGAACAGCCCTCATCCCCCTTGCCCTGGGACGGGGACTCCAAAGACAAGGGGGTGGCAGAATAAACCTCATCCACCTCACCTGGCTTGTCAAGGTTTGTTTCTGGGGGGAAGGGCTGGGCAGGGCCAGCCCCAAAGTGTGCCTGGAGCCTGCCCATCCTGAAAGTTGGCATTCTTGGCCTGATCCTCCCCCACCCCAGAGAGCTTAGTGATGGAAGGGCCAAAGGAAGCAACTCAAGGTAGTCATTGGCCCTAACACTAGTTTTCACCTGTCCCCATCATCCCAGAACCCTCCTCCCCCCATAGCCA